ATAACTGCCTTCCATCCGTCGGATGGCTCAGTTAGTTGGCATGCAAAATGCTTTATGAACGGCACTTGCACCTTTCCATTTTGTCATTGATTTGCAGTCATTCCTGCACAGCTCAAAAAATTTACCCTTTGAAGAAATAAGTTGTGAAACATCGAAATTATTAAAAATATAGAAGGTAAAAACAAATTAGATAAACCCACGAAAACTCTTAAAAATAATTTTAGTTTAACTGGAATTGTAAGAAAAAGTAAAATGACTATCGATTCACTTTGTTTTGTTTCCTAAAATTTAAAACCATCGATAGTATCGATAGTGCTATTAATCTTTCTACCGACTATAATACATATAAATATTTTCCTTAAGAGAAAATAATCAAAAAAAATATCTATACTTATTACAGAATTTTCTTAAAACCTTTACCAAAGTCGGAAAATTTTAATTCGTTAATCTACAACAAAACTTCCTCCTGTGCATTGATTTGATATTTTTTATCGCTTTTCCCTTAGCAACTGCCAAAGCACAGACAAATGAAACACCGAAGTGGCATAAACACGGTTATCACTTAGCTGCCTTTTCAGTCCCATGTCGAACGTGTAATTCGATAAGCTTGGCTTAAAAAATAGCCATAGCTCCAATGAGTCGATACACTTTTAATAGTTTCTGCTGCAGCAGCTTACTGGCGAAGGATGGGGAAAAGTTGTGCAAACTTTTTCAGCTTCCATCGCAAACTTTTGCGCTCCGATAAACAACAACAAAAGGTCGGGGGCGACGGTGGGCGGAAGTGCTCGATTCGATCCCGGAGCTCGAGTCAAAGGCAAAGTGTTGACAGCCCGATGCGACACACTCGCACTCACCAGCACACAGGATCTCGGAATCTCAGAGTCTCGGAAGGACCCTGAACTTTGGACAGCTCGAATGCATTGTATACAAATGCAGTTTCCATTGGCTAAAGTCTCAACTGCAGGCCAAGTTTTGCTTTTCAATTTCGAGAACCCCGAACACCGAACAAAAACACACACATATGGTCCATGGTCTCTGGTATATGGAGAGTGGAAAGTTTCTAGCTACACAAATGCAAGTCTCTTCGCAAAGTTATATCCCTCCCTCCTTGGGGTATTATTAGAAATTGAATTAGATTTCATTCGGCAGCGATCCACTTAAGGTGCAAGGGAAAAAATTGCTTGGGCTGCACCCTCTTTATTTCGCTGCAATCACATCGAAAGTTTGCAATCAAAAAACTTTGCTTCCTGCCTTCCGAAAAATTTGCGTGCCGAAAAAATAACCTTAGCATTAAATAGACTACAAAGTTGTTTTTTGGCCCTGTGCTACCACCCCCACCCTTTGCTAATCCTTTTAATTTTGAACTTCAACTTTCGCCGGCGAGCTGGAAAAATAAGATGGAAAATAACCGGAGAGTAGAAGTAGAGGAACCAAACATGCGACGCACTCGGCGAAAGTTTTTTAATAACAAGTCCTGCGAAAGGACGAGCCAGTTATCCATCGCAGTGATCAACTGGAGGGCAGCGAAGGAGGGGAATAAATTCCGCCCTGCACTGCACGTACATTGCATACATTTCCTTGACTTTTGTTGCCCGAAAAATCCGAACCCGAAACCCAAAACGCGAATCCTGAAAGCTGAAAACTTTTGGTAGCCAGTGTGCCCCGGGCAGTCGAGGAACTCTCACTCTCTTCTCATCCGGTAAAGTCCAGCCAGCGAAATGCAAATACAAGTTATAATAATTTCTTTTCAATTTCCAGCCAAAGCAAGCACTTAAGGGGATTTTAGTTACAGGGACGCGGGCCTTGAAATGCAACTGGCCATAAGGTCGGAATTGGATAGGATTGGATGGTATGGGTTGGCATGGGGTTGTATTTGTCATTTGGCCTCATCACTTCTGTGATTGCGCTGAAATTTGCATAATTCCAAGTAAACAAGCAATTTCATGGAGAGGGGGGTGCGGGGGCTGCCATGGAATTGGGCAGCGGAATTCGGGATTAATAACTCTTTGCAGACGAAATTGGATAGGATTTGGCACTTCGGTAGCCTCGGAGCAGAGACAATTTCGTTGGAAGCGAAATTAGACAAAACGTTAATCAAAAGTCAAGGACAAAAGCCCAAAAGGTGCACTTAAAGAAAAAACGGGAAACATGCTTCCGTTTTTTTTTTTTAAAGGTATACTAAAATTGTAAATTAGAGCAAAATTTTTATATTTTTAAAAGTAATTTCCAATATTTACCTAACAAGTTTTATATTTAAATTTAAACATACCACTAAAATACTTATATTAATTTTGCTAAAAGAGATAATAAATCGGAAAATTAGATCTTAAAAAAATTAAGAAACATGTCTTAATAATTTCAAGATGATTCTTCTCCGAATTCCAAAAACTTTTAGTCTCAAATTGTCAAAGTGCACGACGAAAAAAAAAACTGACACAGCAGCCAGGAAAATTCCATCGAATTAAAACTTTGATTATTTCTCGTTCGATTTGTTTTTTGTTTAAAAGTCAAAACACCTGGCAAAAATCCTGAAATTCCACCATATCGCATTGATTTGCTAATTCCGAGCGAGGAGCGCTGCAGGAGGAAAGAAAATAAAGTAAGTTGGCAACTTCCTGGTTACAACGGCGAAAGTTTCGTTTCGGCAGCGATAAAAGTTGCCCCAATATACATATTTTTGCCCAGGAGAGTGAAAATAAAAGGCACAATAAATTCGTTATTATGCTGCTACTTATGTCAACTCACCTGGTTGCAGCGATATTTGTGTATTGCCAAGTCAAAAGTTATCGCCAGTCTGAAACTGAACAGCAGCCATTTCTCCCCCTTTTTCCCTCCCCCCTTTTTTCCCTCGAGTGGAAATGGGTGGCCTATAAACGAAAGCTGCAATAATTTCCGCCCGTTTTTGTGTGCCTGCCATGGTCTCAATTTAATTACTGGCCAGCAGTTAATATTGACAGTAGCCACAGCCCACGGTAAAACCGTAAAACCGTTTCAGCTGAGCATAAACCCATGAGCCTGTCAATCGCAAAAGGTCGGTAGCCAGGGCCCATTATATAGAACGTATCCCAGCCTTTTGTAAACAACTTTACCTATAACCACAACAAACGAAAATGCGACATTTTAGCCCGTACCAAAAAAGCTGATACAAAGGCCGTACGAAAATTTATGTTGCAGGGAAATATTTAAGTTTGAATCTAGATTTATTTTAAATTTAATATCGGATTATTTTATAGGAAAAAGTACTGAAAACTTTTAAATTTATTTTAGTTTAGTTTAGGAGAGCCTCTTCCCATCTATAATAAGAAATGGGTGCCCAAAAAAAGGAAGAATAAAGTCTCCTTAAGCAAAACGATTAGACTTAGAAATCTAAAACAAAACCCGAAATTCGAAAATAATTCCATATATCGCTTTATATAGCTTTCTCAACCTTTGGGGCATTTTTAAACAGTCGAAACTCTTTAATCCTTCCGGCGAACAATGCTGCTGGCAATACATGATTATTTTATGGTAGCCAAAGCCAAGACCAAAATCCCAATGCAATTTCACTCCTTCGGTTTGCTCTCCTTGGAGACTTTTGGCAACTTTTAATGGCCTCACTAATACATTTAAGACTCTGCATAAACTCACACACACATAAAACGGAGCGAGCGGCACGACGACGGATTCGAGTCCTGTGCACAAATAATTACATGGCAAAATATTTACATTTTGGTTTTGGCTTATGCACCAAATAGGCCAACCCAGACAGGTTTGGGTTGCTGGCTGCTCGGTTTCGGTGGGTTTTTGCTTGGGCAGCAACTTTTTGGCCACTTCATATTTCATAAAAACATGCATTATGACTATTTTATGAAGCACGCGCCGAGAACTTTGGCAGTGGGGCTGCGGACGAGGGAGTCCTGTGTTTGCTAGGTATTTATTCGAGTCTGTGCCTGTGCGTTGGTGTCCTGGCGTCCCGGTGTCCTGGTGTCCTGGCATTCTGGCATCCTGGCACAAAGCCCCATAAACCGACATCGTTGTGTGTCCCCTGTCCTTGTATTTGTCCTGGGCCTATCTGCTTTATGGCTCAGCGCTTCCAGTGCATCGCTTCAACGTGGCCCAAACAAAAGGATCCCACATTCATGGCCGGCGGGGGTCACAATTTCATGTGCCCTGAATGGCTCACTTCGGGCCAACAAAACTTCAGTGGTCGTAAATGTTCGCCCCTCAGATGTGTAACTGACCTAACCCATTGCAAATTAATAATTCGACCCACTTCGAGTGGCCAGCTCTCTCTCCTGGGGATCCTCTGTCGTCCTTCTCAATATCCTGCAAGAACACTGCAACTGACTCGGCCTGCACTCGAAATTTTGATTAGATTATGCTCGTGCTCAATATTCATTTCTCAAAGTGACGGGTACTCGGTACAGTGATTCGAGTTCCAGCCTGTTGAGTAATTAGTTGATTACCAAGCCGAGCAATGAGCCGGCTAATTGAAAGGGTAAACTGAGCATTGGATCAAAGCCTCTGCCAGCTGATTTCCGATGGAAATGCTGTTAAGGATTCAGCCCTCACTTCAGGGGAATCCTGAAAGGGAAAGTTACACGTTTGGCCTACATTATTATGATATTTAAAATCATTGTTTCCACGTCAATTTTATACAAATTATTTAAGCTTCTATATAGCTTTTCCAGCAGTTTTCTGTAATTACTTGTAAGCCGACTAAATATTAATATTTGAGAAAATCTAAAGGGAAAATAGGAACAGGCCTGCTAATTTATAGATACTTGACACCAGTAAGAGTAATAAATTAACAATTCTGATTAAATAGATGAATGTCTTTTTGCCCATGGCCTTCGAAATATTCCCTTGTCTGCAAATAATAATTACGGATTAATTTAGACTACAGCTGGTCAATATTGACTTGAGACCAATGACCACAGCCCTTGCCCACATATGATTTCCATTTCTTGATTGGCATTTTCAATTAACTAACCGCTACCATTTAGTACCCGGGCTTTGCAATGTTTCCCCCGATGATTGACTACTTTTGGCTGAAGTTCATCAACTGTTTCGGCCTGGTTATGAAATTGGCGGAGGATTCGCGGGTAATCATGATGATGGTGAGCTGCACAATGGCGGTGGCTTTCATACTGAACCTTCTTTCGGGGAGAACTATCCTGAGGAACGTGGTTAATTCGCTGGCTAACCGGAGGCTAAAATCCAGACTAGATCGCAGGCCTTCGCCTATTAATATTGTGGAGAGCGAGGTGATTAAAAACCAGTTAAAATCTCCTTTAAATTGGACGCACTACGAGGATCTTCCAATGGCTACCGTTCTGGAGAATAATGGAAGTACGGTGATCCTGCGGATTTACACCCCCATCAACTTTTTACCCCACCTGAACGGAGCTGATTTAACCGGAAAATATCACTTTGTGGAGGCGATCTTCAAGTGGGGCACCCTGCAGTCCGAGCATTCGATTGGAAGGAAACACTTCTGTCTGGAGATGCAGGCACTGCATCGATGTGTTCAGGAAAAAGGAGCCTCCGAATACCTCACTTTGTCCTATTTATTTACAGTGACCCCTGTGAAGAATGAACCCCTTAAGAATATCTGCGACAATCTCAAGTGGATCCTGCACCCAGGATCTTCGATTGAACTGCCGCCCTTTGAACTGAAATCATTAATCCCACCATTCAGCAGAGGTCACTACACCTATCATGGAACCTACGATAACGGGGAGGTGATGCTGCCCACCACCTGGCTTATCAATCCGGTGATTTCTCAAGTTAGCTCGCATCAGTTGGCCCAGTTTTCGGCACTTTATCGAAAAGATGGCAGCAGGAACTCCAGCAATTCCCGACAGGAACAACCGCTGGGCAGTCGTAATGTGTACTTTAATTATTAAAGAAGATTTTAATAAATTTATAACGACTGAAGATAAATTACTATTCTTATTTTGACCGCATCTGTGTGTCTATGACTATATCTTTTTGGCTTATAACCCCCTTATAAAAAATCAAAAATGCCTTTTCTGAGCTTGGGGTTCGAAAGATAAGGAGTTGCACTCTATAAATGCTTTGACTAACTAACAAAACAAGAAACCGTTGGCCTGTAGTTTTTGTTAAAAAATATTTACTTTTTTCTTAGAATCCTTGTGTAGAATTGATGTTACTCCAAAATAATTTAATATTTTTTAAGACTACTTCCAAAGTTAAAAATTATTATTCATAACAAATGTGTTTCTTTGAAAAGAGTTTAGGATTTTTTACCCGATTACCAAGGTTATTATTGCATCATTATGAGAAAATCTAAAAATCGTTACGGAGTCTGACGGTAAAAGTGAACTCTGACGACGTGTTTGAAATAAATCCTCTGCTTCTGATTTTGCATTCACTGCCCTTTCAAAGTTTGAACTGCAAAGCTAAAGCCTTGCGACGTGCATGGAAATGCGGTGAGCTCGAGAGTCCTTCCTCGTCCTTCCATTCCTCGAGGAGCAGTTGAGCAATTCAGTTCGTGATTCGCACCCCATGAGCAGTCAGTCAGGCAGTCGGCAGTCCATCAGCCTTTGACTCTGGCTTCTCGGGCCAACTATTTGCCTATTTGACCGACTGTCTGCAGGTGCAGCCAGGCAAATAGCAAGAGTGCAAAAGGGAGAACCTGGGGAATTTGTTCATTTCGTTCAGAGGGCAGTGGGAAAAATCAGAGAGAATGCCTCGCAGCTGCAAATGCTAAAACAGTTGCGAAAATTGTCGAAATTAATTTTCAATAAACGCCCGCTGGCCAGAAAAAGGCAATCGAATACTGATTGGCTAAAAGTTGAGCTCAAAATCGCTTTGAACGGTGAAGGCAGGGAAAACCTGAACCTGAAACTGAACGCTTTGGCCCAAAAGCGAAACGGTGAATTCCGGATTCGGGGATGGGGATTGGGATTGGGATTGGGATTCCGGGATCTGCAGGAAGGAAGCCAGGCATTCGCTTATTGACTGGCCCAGCAGCACCCACATCCACCGCAAAGGGAGTCCTGCAGGGGGAACAGCATAGTTAGCTACTTCAAACGCGGCGCAAATTGTTCCTGGCTACGGAAATTCCTTCGCACGAATATCAAAAGGATTAGCCCAGTCCAGCTAGGCGGCTAAGAAAATATATATATAGGATACTATTTATTCCACCACCGGCAGACATTTTGAACTGGCCAACTCCTATTACGATTTATTTCAGGCGTAAAACCAGCGAAGGAAATATTTGCGGCGAAAGTTTAAAATAATTGTTGATGTAACGAAGCATATAGAGGCGTTGCCGAGGGCGTGGCACAAAGTAAAACAATGGGGCAACAGCCAAAGGAGCGGTTTCAGTAGCAAAATGAAACCGAGGCTGAAACAGGACATCCAAATAGTTTTCGCTTGGGAAATTGTTTCAAGTTGCGAACGGTTTCGTTAGCATATATACATGTTTAAATATGGACTGTTGTTTTCGAGTGGCCACAGTTCCAGTCCAAATGGCAAATCTAACCCAAACAACAACAGGCAGCTCAACCCATCTTTGCATCGCTTAGCCGTCAGCAGTTGGCAAGTCAAACAATTAAAACAAGCTCCAAACAATTTCCATTTAGATGCGAATAACAAGTTGTACGTATGCATACGTATACATAGTATACATGTATACTAGATGCACAGGCGATAATCAAGCTTCAAATACATTACCTTAGTATTTTCTAGAATATATAAACAATTTGTATTTTTCATATTCCAAAGAAAGCCTAAAATTAATTACCATTAATTCGCACGTGCCGACTGATCAATCAGCAGATTGATCTTTGTTTTTGTTTATTAAAATGAGAGCAATAAAGAGCTCAACAAATACCTGTTCCTATACCCTTTCAGAAGGTATTATTATTTTAATCAGAAGCGTTTTATTTAGGTGCCTTTTAAACATTCTAGAACATTTTTAATAAATGTATATATTAAAAAAGCAAGACAAATTTATCAGTTTATTCGTATCCTCTAGATCCTAACCAGTTTGGTGCGCGTTTCCATCATTGGAAGTCCATACGAGAAGCGTACCGGCTGTAATATTACATATTATTGTTTTAGTTACAGTTTTTTATTTTATCACATATTTACGTTTAGGAGCAGCGTTGCTAAGAGCAGCGAGAATGATAAAGATAAGGGCAGCGATTTGGAAGAACTTCATGTTGATTTGGGTGTTTCGGTGGTTCTTGGTTTACTGATTCTCCACTGCAGAGTGGGAGCTCTTTTATAGGCGAACGTTTGGTCCATAATCTGGACAATTTCAACCTTGAAGATTGCACATGGTCAAAGATCAACTGAGGTTTCCTAAATGTGAAACCTCCCAATAATATACAACGTTTCATATTGTATTGGAATAAAAATGTATACCAAGTCCAGCTTTCTCATTTTAAGCCCTTATCAGCAAAAATCCAGTAAAAATAATATTGTAAATAAAAATGTTAGGACATTTTCTAACTTTCCCCTGTTCTTCAGATTAATTACGAAAAGTTTTGTAATTTAATTTTTTTTATTTAAGAATCCATATGGGTAAACACATAGTCAAAATTTTCCTGCAGTTCTAACCGGTGCGGATGTACTGGGTGTTGTCGGTCTGGATGAGCACGGTTCCAGCTGTAATATTGTAAAATATTTTAAAATAATTATTATTATAATTATTGTTATTTTATATTTTATCTTGTGATTTAACACTTACGTTGGGGAACGGGCTCAGCATTGGCGAGGGCGGCGAACATGGCCAAGAGAAGGGCGGCGGCTTGGAAGAACTTCATGTTGATTTTGGTGGTTTGTTGGTTTTTTGGTAGCTTATTAGCTTGGTAGTTCAAGTGAGACACTGATGCCCAACTGCAGAACGGGAGCTCTTTTATAGCAATGCGATCAGCCAGCGAACTGGGCAATTCCAACCTGGGGATTGCACAGGTTAAAAGATCGGCTTAATCTCTTCACTCGTCAATCAGAGAGATTCGCTGTTGATTTGTTGTTGATGTTGATGCAGGGCGATTCATGTGAAGCGAGAACCTGTCTGGGTTTTCTACGCAATTCAATTAATGCTGGTTATTGACATTCGAATATGTGCACACGTAGACGGAACGACTATTAGAATAATTGGAACTGGGCGCGAACAGCGCAATATGCAATCCAGTTTTGTTTGTAAACAATACCCTTTACGGTGGAGTTTCTCTTGAAAAAAGGTAGTTAATGGCTTTTACCGACTAATTCTTGGTACTATAAAAATGTATATCTAAAACAATGAAAGATAAAAATCGTTCTCGAAATGGATTTTCCCAAAAATATTAAGAATACGCTGCAGTAAACGATTTCTAGGTCGTTGCGGAAGGTTAGGGTCTTATATAAATATTTATTTATTTATTTTATATATGAAATAATTATATAAATATGCAAAATCTACCCTTAGAAGAGATTGATTTATTAAAGGTCCATAATTATCCATTATCCTATTTAATTAAATTTATATTAAATTATTTTTTTTACGAATACAAAATTTAAAGACGAAATATTTTATTCAAAAATTAAATATTATCATATTGCTTGCCAATTAATTGCTTTTAACAAATCGTAGAAATATAAACGTATTTTTGATTGAATTCCTATTTTGGAAAACTAATATAAAATATTTGAATAAATAAAATAAAATTAATAAATAAATAAAATAATAATAATAAGTCAAAGCATTAAACATTATGTAAATGTAGAGTTTTTTATAATTATTTATTTTAAATGTAATGATAGAAAGTTTTGATATATTTTAAAAAATGTACGAGGTGTAATAACATATAATGATGGTCGGTGAATGTCTTATCTAAGAGATAAGAGTGGCAAATCCAAAACCGATCTAAATCGAAGTCAATTTACACCTTGCATCCCATTATTCTCAGGGAATCGAATTTATTTATTAGTATTCTCGCGTATCAGCTACACGCGCATTATCAGCTCAGATCGCTCAGAGCGCTCGATTCCCGATCGTGACCCTGGGGGTTTTTCGGATGCCCATTGGAAATTCCTGATTTACAAGCCCCAGCTGGCGCTCACTGCACCGGATCGAGCTATATAAGCGACGCTCCCACGGATCGACAATCAAAGTAGAACTTGAATTCACTCTGTAAACATGAACTGTCTGAAGATCTGCGGCTTTTTCTTCGCTCTGATTGCGGCTTTGACGACGGCAGAGGCTGGTGAGTAAAAAAACAAAAATCTTATCAACGGGTTGTCACTAATTCGATTTTTTAACAGCTACCCAAGTCATAAATGCTGGCGGACACACTCTGATTCAAACCGATCGCTCTCAGTATATACGCAAAAACTAAAAGTTACCAATGGAAATCTAATAAATGTCTAAGCAAATAAAAATTATGTGAAAAAATATTGTTTTTTAACTTATATTTGAAAATAGCGCGCAGTTTGGTATGAAAGGTCACACTGGCAGAAAATACTAGCTTAGGGTGACCATTTCTCCTCCCGTAGTGTGTATACACTGGAAATGATCGCGATCAGCTGTTCAAAAAAACAAAACTATTTTTAAAACTCCGGCATTTCATCTTATTTATTAAATTTTAAGGAAATTCAGTGAAAATAAAGTAATGTTTTCGATTTAGTGACTTGTGAAATCAATTCGCAAATATATTTTTAAAACGCAGGCCAACAACATTGATAAAACCGAAAGGAATATCGTTTGATTTTGGAGGCAGCATCTGGAATCTGGTACACCGGGCAGATCCTTTTAAGGATCCTTTATGGTCCATTTTTGGAAAATGAGATTCAAAAATGAAATCGTTGAGATATTATTGAATGTATAATTCAAAGAAATCCAAATTATCCGACAAAGTTTAAAAAAAAGGAAAGTGATTTGAAAGGATCTCGTTCCTGCAGGTAATACTATACCTATAAAATTAGGGGTATATGCAATTATTAACTTATTTTTTTAGCAATACCCATAACGCAGTATTTAGTATGAAGATCTCTTAATTTACGAAAAATTAAACAACCAAATTACAACTTAAATATTGCTTGTACTGACTAGGTTCTAAACTAAGTTCAACCTTAAACATGAAGGTTTATAAATAGCTTTGGCGATATCATTAAGTTAGTCCAGCCAATTTTAGACAATCTCTTAGTCAATTAAAGGCTATCTAATCTATTGACAGTTAAAAACAACCATATCTTATCTGTTAATCCTTTTAAAGAAATCAAAGATTGATCTACTTTCAGATGTTTCTGATTAGCTAAACTTTGATAATGTCGTTATATATGGGTCATGGTGCATTGATTTTCCTGAAATCAGCGACATAAATTAGCTGAAAGCTCCGTTTAAAAAGATTAAAGATTTTGAAAAAACATGTACAGTGATGAACTTAATTCTTGGCACACTTGGCATCTTGGACTTTAGGTTCAATTTTCTCCGACTAATATATGAATAAAAAAATTTAAAAAAATTTGTTTATGTAAAGGCCACATTTTACTGTTTAAATAATTTGGTTTCATATTTATATTTCTTAAGACTAATTTTTTAAAACTCAAAAACGAAAAAATGAGCCTATTCTGCCCGAACAAAATTCTTGGCACACTTGTGTTGTATTTAACTATTTCGCTAAAACTTAACCGATTTGACTCATTTTTTTTGCTAAATCCGCTAGGCCTCAGTTGTCTAGATGGCATATTGCTAAATTTGTATCCTTAAATCGTTAAAATAACTTATTTTTAACTAAAAACGGTTATATAAAAGTATGTTAAATGCCAATACCCATATCTGTGCGAAAAACAATATTTTAAGGGCAGGATCAGGGTCAATCATATGCTAATACTAGGAAATATGAGCCCAGAAGTTGTTTTTACCATTCGGATCCTTTTACGGCGTTTTAAAGGACTCTCACTGTGCAAAAATGCAAGGCACACATCCTGACCCATGGGTTTAAGAGGCCAGGGAAGCGAAAGGATCAAGAAAAAGGATAATGTCAACCCTTAGATTTTATAAGCACAGATCGAAGTTTAGGATAGGAAGGACTTTTACAAGGATATTCAACCAACGGATATTTTAAAGGCCCTGCAGTGTGCCAACTAAATTTTTTTGCAGCAGAATAGGCTCATTTTTTCGTTTTTGAGTTTTAAAAAGTTAGTCTTAAGAAATATAAATATGAAAACAAATTATTTAAACAGTAAAATGTGGCCTTTACATAAACAAATTTTTAAAAATTTTTTTTTTCATATATTAGTCGGAGAAAATTGAACCTAAAGTCCAAGATGCCAAGTGTGCCAAGAATTAAGTTCATCACTGTATCTCAAATGTGCAGCTTGACGTCTGGAAGGTTCTTCAGGTCCTCCGCGTAGCGCGCCAGCAAGGGTTCCACTTCATCCCTCAGGAACTCCACCACCTGGTCACTGGCTCGACCCGTGAAGGTCCTGGCATCCAGTATGCCATCCAGCTGCTCGAGAATGGGCGAGAAGTAAGGATCCCGGCGCACGCGATCCACCAGATCGTTGTCCTGGCCATGCTGCTTCACCTGGGCTCCAGCCTCCTGGGACAGCAGGCGCATCCTCTCGTGACACACCTGCCGATCCCCGCCAGCCCTCACCATGGCCATGATTATGTTCTCCGTGGACAGGAAGGGCAGCTCCTGGCCGATGTGGCGCTCGATCACCTTCGGATAGACCACCAATCCCTGCGAGAGGCTCAGCAGATTGAGCAGCGCCCCATCGGCGGATAGGAAGGCCTCGGAAAGAGTCAACCGCCTGCTACCGTTGTCATCCAGGGTCCGCTCCAACCACTGATTGGCGTGGGTGTTGGCGGCACTGCTGTACAAGGTGATGAGATGCCGGGCCAGGGAGCAGCATCGCTCCGAGCGCTGGGGATTCATCTTGTACGGCATGGCAGAGGAGCCAACCTGGGTGCTCGAGTAGGGCTCCTCCAGCTCCTTGCGGGAGGCCAGGATGCGCACGTCGGAGCACATCTTGTGGATGGTCGAGCCGAGGCCGGAGAGGGCTCCCACAATCTCCACGTCCACCTTCCGGGAGTAGGTTTGCCCGGTTATCGCATAGGCCTTAGTGAAACCCGCCATCTCGGTGAACAACTGATCCAGCTGCTTCACCTTCTCGCCATCCCCGTTGAAGAGCTGCAGGAAGGAGGCCTGCGTGCCGGTGGCTCCCTTGACTCCGCGGAAGCACAGATCCTCCAGGCAGCGCGACAGCGACCGCTCATCCATGAGCAGGTCCTGGATCCACAGGCAGGCCCGCTTGCCCACTGTGGTCAGTTGGGCCGGCTGCAGATGGGTGAATCCCAGCGTGGGCAGATCCTTGTAGTTCTCGGCGAACTTACTGAGCTGGCCAATCACTTTGATCAAGCGCAAACGAAGCAGCTTAAGGGCATCCCGCATCACCACCAGATAGGTGTTGTCGCCCACAGCAGAGGAAGTGGCTCCCAAATGGATGACCGAACCCGCCGTTGGACATTGTCTGGCGAAGATGTGGAGGTGGGCCATCACGTCGTGGCGCGTGAGTCGCTCCTCGGCTTCCGCCGCCTCGAAATCGATGTTATTCATCTGCAGCTCCATTTCGGCAATCTGCGAGTCGGTGATCTCCAATCCCATCCTGCGCTCCGCCTTCGCCAGCCACACCCACATCTGCCGCCAGGTGGAGAACTTGTGTCGCTCGCTGAAGAGGAACTGCATCTCCCTGCTGGCATACCGGGTGCTTAAAGGAGACTTGTAGACATCGTAGTTTCCCTCCATCCTTGTATCCTTATAAAATGATTCTAGTTTCACAAGGGAAAACTTGACTGCTCCGAATCCAACTAACGACTGTCTGGATGTATAATTTTCGACCTCTTTTAAACGCACATATCAGACGCGTGTGCGAGCATAAAAATAAATCATTAATAAATTATCTAGATGATTTAGATTTCTGAGGGATCGATAATCGGAACTAGATTTCGTTATCGCTGTGTTATATTTGGTCGTAAATGTCTTCTTCATGCTGAGACTTTGGCTTAATCATTTTGATAATCGTTAATTAGTAATTACATTTATCAACCGAAATTTTTCAACTGAAATTTTCAACCGAGCCAAAAAGCTTTAAAATTGAATCACTGTGGACGGCAGTCCACGTAGTGACGAAACGCACCAGGCGCAGAATTGAAAATCTTATGTTCCGATCAGAACGAGTGATACACCAATCTAAAGGTGTCGCAAAAACTAAAAGGATTGCATACCCAGACTATAAAAATTTCAATTAGTTTGGGAACTCTAAGGGAAAATTTAGAAAATTGGTGGGGGTAAAAGTTTTCCTGTATTAAGCCTAATAAAAACACGCATCGAATGACCTTAAACTTACAAAAGTTCTACTATCAAATTTTGTGACGAAAAGTGCTTGTACATTATTGTCCCGAATGAATAAGTTAGTTCTTTTAAGATATCTTAAATTAAGATTATGCTTTTCTTTCACTTTTGAATGATGTAGGAACACTTTATTTTACCTTAAACACTTCCACAAATTCCCTTTAAATGCCAAGTTCACATTGAAAGCAATTTAAAATATCTCTGCATCCAATTTCAGTGCCTGGTGACCTGACTTTTGAGCCGGCGACGACTTCCCGGCTGCCGCATCTTATCGCCGGTCAATAAATGTACATAAATGCGCCCACGACAGGACAAATAGCAAGGAGCAGGGACTCGAACGGCCACAGAAACAGAAACAATAACAGTAGCAAAGCCGCAGAACTCGACCACAACAAGCCACAATCGGCAATCATCAACACTGGCGCGCCGCAGACCTCAAAAGAGGGGTCAAGGGGTCAGAGGTCAGAGGGAGAGTTTCCAAAGGGCGCCAGTTGCATTTTGACAACGTCAACGAACCGGCAACGAAAAACACCCGCGCACACAGGCCATGACAGCTGCACGGGAGACCATCTCCTCCCCGGGCAGCGGACTAGGAATCGGATTCGGATTCGGATCCGGGGAAAAACTAAGGCTGGAGCCCCAGTTACAGCCACATCGGGTGGCCAAGAATCTGCACGCCCTGCTGGATCTGCCCGCGGCGATGGAACTGCGCCAAATTGAGTTGATCTATCGGGCGGAGGGTAATGCAAATTTGGTGCTCGCCTTGCCGCAATTTAAAAAAGTTTTACGTTTGCCAAAAATGATATCCAGCAGACGGCGGCCGGAGGAGCGGAATGAGCGGAATGAGCGGAGTGAGCGGGATGAGCCGCAGGAGGGTGAGGTTGCCCAGCCGGAAGGGCAAGGCGAATCATCCGCCGAGGAAGGGGCGGAAAAAGGTTCGTATGCACACTCCGAAAAAATATAACTAATTTTATAAACTACCCAAAGAATTCAAAAAAAATGTTGATTTAAAATTAGGAGCTCTAATTGATATGATAAAAGTAATATAAGTGTGATAATTATCTATATAAATAATATGATTTGATAATTTAAATAATAGGATTAAATATTAATTTTTATCCTAAACTTAAAATTAGATTAAAGCTTGAACAATTTTTTAACATAAATTTATCTTAACCAATTTACTTGAATTCGAATTTAAAGAATATTGTATACTGCTTATAAGCCGATCTCTAAAGATAAAATTTAGGTTTTAGGTATATAAATATTTTATTAGGCCCTATAGTCTTTTAAGTCAGTTAGCAACCATGTCAGAAATACCTGATGTAGTAGTGGCTAAATAAGTTGTATTTGTTTGAATTTACAAACAAATTTTTACAGTTTCCTTTCCTTATTAAGAAAAATTTTTCCTACCTTTTCATGTAGTGCCTCGTAATTCAAACCAAACTATGATCAGCTTTTCTAAAAATCCATACTTTTTTGCAAGTGTTTGGGCCAGCCTGTTATTGTTAGTTGGGCTGCCTTATATTTTCCTCCTCTTTTTTTTGTTGGACAGGAAATGGTTGCGTGAAACTTCAAACACCCAGACAAGCTGCTGCTCCATCTCCCGTCTCCCAGCCAATTTGAGTATTGTGCTTTGGTTATTGCCCGCTTGGCTGGATTCTGACCCACCATCAACCGCCGCCCACTTCCTTTTCCCGTCGCCCTTTGCCCTTTTGCACATCTCTCTATCTCTGTGCATCTTTTGGCCATTGCATCAAATGTGTTTATTTCATTTATCCACATTTCTCTTATAGTTCCTCGTGATGCTGCTTCTGCTGGACCATCGCCTCCATCTCCATCTCAATCTCTAGCTGGCGACTTGACAATGCCGGATTTTATGGCTTATATCGGGATAATGCGCCGTCTATTAGGAAATGAGTTTGTCTGCGGAGCGGATATTGTTGCCATACCAAAGGAAGACGATAGATTCTGGATAAACGAGCACATACGCGCCCAAAGACCGGGTGAGTGCACTGTGCGAAAATTACTTATTACTATCTTTAATCAAATTTTGGGTTTCATTACTGGCTGACTGAATTTATTTTGCCTTAATATACCTGAATTTAAATAATCATAACTATTGCGTGATTTAAAATCGCATTAAAATAATCATCATGAGTTCTTCTTCTTTTCGTTTATGAAAACTTTTAAGGAACTACAATCATAAATTCTTTGATTCGTTTAAATTGCTTTATTTTTCCACGTAGCTCTGGTAAGCATTTTCCGAGACGGAAAACTATTCACGGATACCGCGTTTTCCCGCCATTCAAGCGGATATCCACTGTGGCATTTTGTGTTGGTGTTTCCCCGTTGTGGGTAGAAAATTTCGTATTTGATCAGCTTTTGCTGCAGTGCCTCCCTTTTGGCCTTTTGCAACTGCAGCGGAGGACTCCCCCCTCATCCTTCCTGGCCGCCTTCCAAAGCCTTTAGAGCCACTGCAATCAATCATAAACGAGCGTTTTAGTGCTTCGTCCCTTTCACTGACGTTTACGATAGAGAAGGAGGGAGTAGATCCTTTGCTCTAGTTTCAGCTTTCAGTTTTCAGTTTCAGTTCAGCAGTCCACATGGGACTGATTAGTGGCGGACGCCATAGTCGTGGCCATATATCAAAATCGGGTTTATGCCCGCCAGCCAGCAACAGGCTGCGGAGCTCCAGAGCTGCAGAACTGGCCAGCGATTTATCATTCACCTTCGCCGACTAACCGTCTAACCATCTAACCATCGAACCGTCTAAACCACCGCCAGTGGGCGTCTATATATCAATAATCGCCGGATGCTGGCGCTTGCACTTTACATTCATTGGGAGGCCATACCCCTCATACCCCGCATTTTCCTGACTTTCCCGCTTTTCATTTCTGTCTGTTCTGTTTTCCCCAAAACCCATTGCAGTTTCGCGTCTGGATAAGGAATTTGTGGGGCCATTCGGCCTGCTGCTGCCAGATGTGACCCAATTGCCTGCCACGTTCGATGTTTTACTTGCCAATTTACAGGTGAGTTGGTCGTCGTCAGCTGCTCCTGCAGCTCCTTTTGCTCCCCTTGCTCCTTCTGCTCCTGCTGAGGCTGCTGTTTTGGCCGGGGAAGCTGTCCAAATAAATTGTGTATTTTGTACAAGGACAATATTGGCATTTTTCGGCCATATGTGCTGGACACGTTAGCCAAAAGCTGCGGCCGTTTCTGCTCCTGCTGCGGTTTAGTTTGCCTTTGTGTGGAGGCATCCACCTAAACCAGCCACCCATCCAAATTCGTAGCTAAACCCTGGCCAAGGACCATAAATCAACGGTTCTTTGTTTTGAATTAAAGTGGGCAACAGTGTAAACACTTTGTTGGCGTTACTTGCAACCTTGCCCCGTCCACTGGATCCACATTTCGATCCGTTTCGTTTCGGTTTCAGTTTGGTTTTGTACTTGTGCGGTTATAAAAGATGCCGAAATTGCTTTGAAAGTGCCGCCATAGCTGCAAGTTTTATTATATGCCCTATGTCCACCTAAAATCGGACAGCCATCGGGTACATGGAGGAAAAAATACAGTCTAAAGTCAAGAAAAATTTGTGTGGTAATCTAAGAATTTTCCTTAATCAAGAAAAAGTTGTATCTTAATTTATAACAGTTTTTTATGTCATTAAACAATTAAAAATAAAGGAGTGTATTTTCAATATTCATATTTCAATATTCAATATTTCAATATTCAATTTTAGCTTTTATAAAAATTAAAAACAAAGTTTCCCTTACGAAAAGTTTCCCTTATTTAAAGAACTTTTGTTTTAATTTCAAGAACGTTTGGTACTCTTTTTAAACGTTCTTAACTTTTTCCCTCAGTGTAGCTTAGCTAACTGGAAGCACATGCGATGGGGGAAGAGGGAGAATACCCCTTGTAGGACTTCAGGGTACTCCTGTGTTCGATCATTTGCCGACCGCCGTTTCTTTATTATTTTTTGCCAATTTTTTGGCTATTTGTTCGCCGTACTCGCTGGGTACATATTGAATTTATGGCTTTGGTGCCAAAGCATTGACCGAAATAAAATTGCCGGCAAAGGAAACAAACAGCCAGTGGAGCAGGGGCAGTGGAAAAAAGGCCATAGAATGTGGTACATATGTATATACAAACAACGTGGCCCATAACTAACGCCATATTGTGTGGGCGAAAAAAAGCAGGGGAAAAGGTAGCCGAAGAGCTGGAGAAAAAACCCATTTAATTGCGGCTTTAAATGTTAATTTTCAATTTCAAGTTGGGAAGCGCGAATGGAGGAGGAACTCCATGTCGTGCCGGCCGTTGGCTCCATAACTCATCATACAATCAGCGCAACAACTTTTGTTTTATGTCACACCAGCAACGGGAGCAACAGGAGCAGGAGCAGCGATAACCTGTCCAAGGACCTCGATCCCAAACCATGCGGAACCATGGTAGCTTTATTCATGATGGTTTCGCTCCGTTTTTCTTTTTTTCGTGCTGCGCTCGTCGCTGCATTTTCAAGTCAAAATGGCATCAACGCCGGGGCAAAAGTTCGCGGTACACGGCAGGCATAATATTTCATGGCAGGACATGCCGGCACCTTCCTTTTACTCCATTTCCTGGGGATCGCGGAGGGGAAGGGGCATCCGGGGAGCAGGCAGGAGCAAGAGCAAGAGAAAATAAGCGAAACGATATAATTTTTGCAGGCAAAGGGCACAACAGGAGATGAAACTGGAGGAGCAGGAGCAACAAGGACACCCCTTCGTCGTCTGGGCGATACATATGCCATCGAAATAAAACCCAAACAAGGCTGGCTCCAGTTGGCAAGTGATGTCAACGATTTATTTGATTTAATGCCGCCAGGAGCAGAGACAAAGCCCAAGGATCAGGGGGAGCAGAAGGAGCAGGAGCAGAAGGACAAGTGCTGGTGTCGCTTTTGCAGCATGCAACTGCTGAAGGTGAGTGACTGCCATGATAACGAAGGTCATTTTAGTCTCTCATTTCATTCCTTTCCCTTCACTCCCTTCGACAGCTGCACAATGGGAAAATCAAACGTTTGGGCCACTACTGTCCGCTGGATCTATTCTCCGGGTATGTCATCGAACCCAGGACACAGAACAACCGAGCAATATACAGGACAATGAAGAGGCGGAGGAGGCGGAGGAGGAGGCTGCTCCTTTGGCACGAACATCGAGTCATAAATTTCAATCTGCTCCATTTGCGTGTCCTGTCGTGCTTCATAATTCCAACACTTTCGGTTACTGTTTGCCACTCCTTCTGCTTTAGTGTCGGCTATTTCTCCTTTTTTTTGCTGTATTTTTTCAGGTCCCAGAGTTCTGGGTTCTCCGGGTCCACCACTTCAATTGCAATCCCAGTTTCATTCGTTTATTTGCGGCCCGCTGTTTCAAGTCATGCGTGCATCCGTGCACAAAATTCAATTTGCTTGCGCTTTCATTCCGGTTTACCGCTTGCCCCTCCTCGTCCTCTGACCCCACTTTTTATGGCCTCCTCCTTGCCCGAAACACCCCTTCGAAAATTGTTGCCAATTCTTTTGCCTTTGTTTCGGGTGCCAGCATCTTCCATATATCCCATATGCATATACATCGCTTTTAATAGTAATATTCATAAGTACAGCACGTGACGAAAGTAGCTAGGCTTTTCGGTACTCTGAGATTGATAGAGAACCTCAGGATCCAATGAAATATTTTATGAATTCCCGAGCTAATGAAAAATTTCTCATGTACCTGTTTCTTATCATCGTAAAAATATGTTAACATACAAATTTAATTAGTATTAATTATATAATTTATGGTTATTGGGGCTTTTCAGAACAAATTTGGTGCTGTATACTTTTTTAATACCACATTTCCTTTCATATTTTTCATTAAGATATTCTGCGCATTGCTTAAAATAATTTGTTAATAGGCTAGCTTACTTTATGATTTTAATTGTTCCCATAATTTGTATACGCCTTATAATTATCACCCACACTGTACTACAAACATGTCCGCTGATGTATTTCCACTGGTTCTTTTCTCTGCTTTTAGTGCACCCAGTCGTATGCTCGATGCCTTGGATGCACTTCTCGCCTGCCCGCAAAATAATTTACGTGTATTTCAGAACGGCAATTTAATTTATGGCGATCACGCGAACTCGATTTCCTTCGATGAATTGCACTCGCGTGTCTTTCCCGGGTAAGTCAGCTTTGCTTTTAAATAAATATATATAGAAAACATGATGGACGAGAGAGATTTAAGAGCTGGGAAAGCGAAGAATTTAGCTTTTATTCCTATGGAAATCAAAATCATTTCATTTATTTCCATAGAGATGTATTTTATGACATTTCCAACTGTCCGAAAAGTTCCTATAATTACTTTCTCCTCGAGTCATTCCTTCTCGGGCATAAATTTTCATGAGCAAAGGAGGAAAACTCTCAACAATTTGGCCACACGCAAATATTCAATAAATAATGCAAGAAGCAACAGCCAAACACAAATTCTCGAGTGCCAAATGCCAACATGGCCATTTTCCCGGCTGCATCCTCTCTCTCTCTCTGCCCAGATCTCCGATTCACCTGGCTTTCAACTTTTTCTCGACCCACCCCCCGTTGGTTTTTCCATGTTTTTCCGTGGCTGTGTCGCCTCAACACCTTTTGGCACCACGTTGACAACGCCGACAACGACCACACGGAATGGGAATGCGCATTGAAAACGCTAACAAACAAAATTCAACCAATGCCAACGCCATCGCCATCGCTTCCATGGCCATCGCCATAAAATCTCTGAAATTCTCCAGTGAAATTATGGTGCTTATAAAACATTTGCTGGTGGCCTGCCTGCTCAGGGAATACAAGGTGAGATACACTGAAAAAATAATACACAGTAAATTATAAATGACGTTTTGTCCTCAGAATATTTATTATTATCCAAAAACATATTATATATTCTTAGCGAACTTTGATTAAAAATAAATATATTCTTAAAATTCCACAAAATTATATTGAAACTTACAAAATTGTTAATTTTTTCAACATAATGTTATCTAACTAAGTTTACTATTTTACATATTACACGATGACTATTTTATTATTTAAATCGGAAGAAAACTTATCAAATTCTGAATTTTATTTTCAAGCCATAACAATATTTATTTTAATATAAATTACGAATACTACTTACCAACTAATTGAAGGTATATAGAATTGGTTTTTCTGTCCCTGTTTCTAGAATTCCTCTGCAATTTTAAGAACTTACCACTGAAGTAGGGTTATACAGTTCTTTTTAAATAAGAAATAGAAAATCACTGAGTTGGCAATAAGGAGCTTATATTGTTTTGATTTTTCCCCGTGCAGCAACCAGAGTCCAACCGGCCAGAGAGTCCCAATCAGAAGCAGAACCAGAATCAGACTCTAGACCAGGAGCAGCTGAATCAGAGTCGCGTTTCAATTGCGGCGACGGAGACAAAAGCCGGAGCTGCTGGAATTGGCGCCGCTAATGTTGTCCTGCCGTTTGGAGGCGTGGCAGCCGCCTCCTCCTCCTCTGTTGTCACTGCCGGTCAATCCTCGACGAGGACAAGAGCAGCTGCTGCAACAGCCACGACCCAAAGGTACACAAAAGTGGACAGAATGGAAACAGCAACAACATCGGGAAGCCAACTGACCGGCAATGTGTTGGCAACGGCAACGGTAAAGGCAACGGCAACTGAAACTGCAACTCGAACGGAAACAAAAACGGAACCGGAAACACAGAGTCGCAATGAGAATCAGGACGAAAGCCGAAATCGGAATAGGAATCAGAATCAGAATGAGCCTGCGAATCAAACCCAAACTCAAACTCAAGCACAAATCAACAAAGCGGAAATATTTCGCTTACCAAGAAATTGTGTGCTGCAAAAAATTTTGAATTTGCAATTGCTGGTAAAGGTAAGCCAGCCAATCAAACTGCTACTACTCCGTAGACCTCTGTCCGTCCGGATTTGTTTATTTTTTCCTGACCCCCTCAGGGGAACCTTGGCAATTGCAGATAGTTCGAGTTGGGTTTTTATACCCTTGCGGGGCGTATTTCCATTTTGTGGGTTAGTTTGTTTTGGCCAACTTCATTAGGCATATTAATTCTTAGGCGGAATCAGTAGAATCAGTGTTCTTTTAACTAACTATTTATATCTTTAAGAATTTTAAGAATTAATGCAGAGGCCAACAACATCGTTCCTACTTTTAGCAATTATCCTAAAAAATTTTTAGCACAGTTGGCGAAATTGCTGTTTTTTTCGATATTTGGACTGATGTTACAAGCAACCCGATTCATCGTTTGTTAGGTAGGTAAAAGATTTTAAAAGTACAACTCTTAATTTTTCCAACACCAAACTCAAAAGAATTTTTTGATTTTTCTTCCTTAGAGTTATGAAAAGGAACCTCTCAATTATGTGGACCTATTTTGAGGGTCTGTTTATTCGTCATTTATCTCTAAACTTTTAGTTGATGTAATCTTTCATGCGGAACTCTTAGCTAGAGTATCCAAAGGTTTAGTCTTGTTTTTGTTTTCCCTAAAATTCTCAGGTGGGCCGAGGGAGTAGAAACTTTATTCGAGGAGGCGGCTAAATGGGCAATGGATGGCCGCCAAGTGGCTTTGTGCGGTGCGAGTAACATTTCTTGGCAATTGCAGCGCCACTTCGACTTCATGTGGCATTCCGGCTACTCGGACCACTCGGAGCCCACTTACAACGCGCTGCGGGGTCTGCTGGCCGAGGAAAGAAAGGGCGCGGCATTCGAGCCGGATGAGGAGCAGGCTTACATGCTGGGAGCCACCGCACTGGACTGCTCGATTATGTTGACGTTTCAGGAAATCGAAATCGAATGCGAATCCGATTGCCCGGCTGGCCAGAGGTAAGTATTATCCACACAATGCCGCCGCCTGCTTCCCGACTTCCTGCTAATCGAATTCCCAATCTCTTGCAGCGATTTCGAGGCACTGCAGCCTTGGTCCGTCGCCCTGCTGGGTCATCACTTTCTAACCAAGCTCTGTGTCCTCGATCTGGATCCCAAGCCCGACAGTCACTTTCATAAATTCATGGCGCAGACACGTGAAATTGAAAAGTGCCGTCGTGCATTAAATTAATTAATAAACTTTGTGCCCCAACTAAAAGCCGCACGCATCGACTGGCGAGCTCACAAAACTGTGGTACACTTTTGCTCCTCAATATAAATCCAGTTGCTCTTTTTTGCGCTGCAAGCTTTTCGAGTTCTTTTCATACCCGTTTGCTAAAAAGGACAAGGGTATATTGAATTCGTGCGAGTTCTGGTGACTGGAAGGCTATCAAGTGCTTAAAGTGTCAGACATTCGGGCTAAGACTCTGCCATGTTCCCGGTTTAAGTCCACTTAATTGGGCGGAAGCGAAGCTAATCCGAGGTCTAACTGATGTCTGCACAGATTTTCATTTAATAACTGCGGAAACTAGATTTCGGGCAATGTTCAAGAAACCATAAAATTTATTTAAAGGCTTAAACTATATGCTGAATGAAAATTGAATTTTTTATTAAAAACTTACTCATTATATAAATACGTATTCCATATTGTATATCTAATAGTAACCCATTGAATTTTGATATTAAATTAATATTTTCTGAAATAAAAGACCTTTGAAAAAAAAATCTAAAATTACCTATTCTTTATATTAAATAGAAATTTAAAATAAAACCAACATGATATGAATCACTTTAACATCTAATAACATTTGTAAAAGATTTACTTAATCTTGTTATTTCCCTAAATTTCCCTTAAATTACCTTTGCTTTGAGGTACCTTTTATTCGGTAGATCCTCCGGGCTAAGCTTAGTTTTTCCATATTTTTCTAGTTACTTTGTTGGGCCGCACCTCTAAAAACGGTTTTTACCGCAGCTTGACAGCGAAAAAGGCAGCGGGGGCTAACAAACCACAGGATACACGGCGCTGTCCTGCGAAAGCTACGATGCGAGGGTATAGTTATGGGGCATAGGTGGGTGTAAGGGGGTGTTATGGGTAGTGGGCTAGGGATTGGCGGTCCTGAACACTCCTTAATTAATTTCCATGCGAATGCGGACGCCATACGCTGGCCATTCGCCGCAGGAACTGTGGAGCTATGCAAAGTTATGGCGCTGGGAGTTGGCCTGGCCCACAGTCGACTGTACAGTGTCAGTTGCCATTCACGCTTGGGACTAACCAGTTTGGCCGGCAGCCACGCGAAAAAAGCCAGCGAAACCAAACAGAAACCGAAACGATGGGTAACAAAGTTGTGACATTTACGGAACAGGAATTGGATGACTACCAGGTGAGCAATCAATCAGTTGAAGCCAACCCAAAGCTAATTCCATTTAATGAATTTACACTGCTGCTCCGCAAATCGGAAAAGGATTGCACGTTCTTCACGCGCAAGGAGATCCTGCGGTAGGCCATTTGTATTCTCCTAATAAGCCAAAACTATTCCATTTCATATGGCGGCAGACAAAGAATCAGAGGAGCTCCCAGCACCGCCTGCCATTGTTCGCAGCCTCCATTGTTTGCCTCTCGGCGGCAACAAAAAGCGGGAAGCAGATGAAAATACCCACACGACACAGACACTCAGCAACACAAAGCCCTTCATCTCAGTGCCCCTGGAACCCCGCCATCACATCACTTTCTATACCCTTTCAAAGGGGGATTACCCTTTCGGTGGCAGAGTATCCATATTATTGATCAGCAACTCCAGGAGACCCCATTTGGACTTTCAATTTATTTAGAATTCTTAAAGAGAATTATATATTAGCTAAAGGCAAAAGCATTTCCTAGCACTAATCTAAAACGTAGTAAGATTATTTGGTAAAAATGTTGATGAAGTGGCGTAACTGCTTTGTCCTTACGTTGATTTTTCAATATTTTTAAAAGGAACTTTATATATATAGAAAGAAATTGGGGGCACTTTGGGGTCACCTATCGTTCCATTGCATTGAAAGCACTTGTCTCCGAATTTCCGTATTTATTTTAGATTTTTATCTAAAGCCGTTTTGGTTGCAGTTGCTACTTCCCGTTTTTGTAAGGTCTTTTTATATTACACTATATTATTTGGGAAAAAGTTATAATATTAATTGTGTGGGTAGTTTGTTAGGTATGTAAAGTGTATTAACAACTTCGGTTTTCAAAGGCTCCTCCTCCACCCTTGTTTTTCTATACGTTACAGCGTTCATAAACGATTTCGTGAGCTGCGGCCGGATTTGGTGCCTCGCCAAATGACCGAAGGTCAGGCCTCGAGTGTTAAGGTTCCCTGCGAGTGCATTGAGAAGATGCCCGAGTTGCGTGAGAATCCCTTTCGCCGGCGAATATGTGCGTAACAAAAGACCAATACCAATACCAATGGCTATAGCTATAGCTACATAGGCGGAGCAGAGCAAAGCAAAGCAAAGCCAAGGGCTGTCCTGTCCCTCGCAAAAGACTATAGCAATTTTCGCATTTTGCAGGCGAGGCCTTCTCACGCGATGGCCAGGGCAATTTATCCTTTGAGGACTTTCTGGACGCCCTCTCCGTTTTCAGCGAGCAGGCGCCGAGGGACATTAAAGTGTTCTACGCTTTCAAAATTTACGGTAAGTTTGCGGTGCCCTTTACTTCTGGTTCTTGTGGTCAGTGATGGGAAATTACCATATTTTAGAGTATACCAAAGAGATAGAAAGTAATTACAATGTAAATTCGGGTTTCAAGGCTTGTTTTAGCATTTTAAAAAATGAAATATTATGGAAAAACCAATCATATCATATGTTTTAAAGGGGTAATGAAATGCATTTAAATGAAAATAGATTATGAGCTGAAATATTACGTAGCCGACTAGTTGGACGCACTTGATTATGAACTAAAAATCAGGCAAGAAACACAAAATTGTATAGCTATGTATTCGATTTCCTAGATATATTTACAAATTGACCATAAGTTAGTTAAACCCTTAAATCCCAACGTTGCTAGCAAAGAACTTTGATCCTAAGAGTTCTAAGGATGAAAATAGATTGTGTTTGCCTTGAAAAGTCATTTACGAAATAGTAGCAAATTCTTGTAAACTCTTTTTAAAATATTTCATTTTCCTGTAAAATTTGTAAAAACTAAATAAATACAAGTTTGAGTCGAAAGGATTAAATACCGAATGTCCCACTGAAAAATTGCGTAGCCAACCTGTTGAACAAAGCTTTATAAAATTTTATAGGGAATTTTACAGTTTCAGATAATATTTTTTTAGCCTATCTGTGTGGCATCACTAGTTGTGGGGAAGAGCAGCCTGCAAGCTCCATCTTCATTTGCAGCTCCAGCTGCTGGCCGGCATTTCGAGCCTTTGTTTATGCATTTCCGCAGCCCGTGTTTATTGTCTTTGGCGTAGTTGCCCTCCTAGCATGAGTGTGTGTGTGTGTTGGCCCTCTTTGCATTTGGCCTTTAAAAGAGGGAAAAGGGGGAGAAAATGGCCATGGCCACCAAACGTGGCACACAACTCGTGGTGGCGACTCGCGGCTCGACAATTTGTGGCGCCGTTTTCAGGCAACTATTGTTGTTTGCTCCTGCAGGGTGAAAGTTCAAGGACAGCCATAAATTCTAATAAGCATTTTAATTGAAATTTAAATTAGAATCTCGAAAAATGCCACCATAAATGTGGGCCAAAAGTTTGCGAGCAAATTGATTGTGCACTTGGCACTCGAAATTAATGGGCCAAAGTCCACACAATCAATAGGATGCAAAAGTATCTCTCAGGTCGAGTGGTGAAGCCACTGCAAATTTTTGCTAAACTAAACTAGTTTCAAAAGTCAGGCGATGGAGAGCTGCAGCTACAGCTACACTTTATTTCAATGTGCATTATTAGATTGACACAAATTGAAACGTGCAGCAGGCGATTACCTGTGCGGCAGAAGGACGAAGGACACAAACGTGGCAGGCAAACTCAGTTTGGCACACATCACTTGACTTTTGTGCAAGAAAATGTCAAGTTCTGTAAGCCATCTCCTGGAACCACCCACATTCGTATAACCCACCCATCCACTTGTGTGTGTGCACTTATATGTATGTCTGGGCATAACTTTGCAGATTTCGATCAGGACGGCTTCATCGGGCACGCTGACCTCATGTCCTGCCTGACAACAATGACCAAGAACGAGCTGAGTCCGGAGGAGCACCAGCAGATTGCCGACAAGGTAATCGAGGAGGCCGACGTCGATGGCGATGGCAAGTTATCAATTTTGGAGTTCGAGCACGTCATCCTCCGGGCGCCCGACTTCCTCTCCACCTTCCACATCAGAATATAAAATTGCCGTTCAAGTGCTGAGGTGCTTGCACAGTGGGAAAATGTGAGAGATCACTGAGGTACTTTATCCCATGGGAGATGTTGAAAATAAAAAAAAAATAAAAATAAAAAAAAATTAACTTTTCAATCATTTGGTTGATTTTTATTGTAATGAAATGGATCAAGGGGGTTAATTACCAAAAGATGTCTTAATGATACGGATTCCCTCAAAAGTAATCAATATTGATGACATGTTTTAAAATTTTATTTAACAAAAATATTTTATAATTAAAGAAATAATCAGGGCTGCCATTTCTAACTTTTTTTAAGACAAATCCATTAATGATTTTAAAGATCTAGCCGGAAAAGCTCCATTAAACTATAATTTCCCGGAAATCAGTTCTTATATCAAATGCTCTGTTTTTAAAGAAAATTGTTTTTTTAAGGCATTTCATTCTTGATCTGTCTGTAAAAATCTGAGAGAATTTATATATTTTTTTTATTTTTAATTGTCTAACCTTTACAATTGTGTACTATTTTCCCTCAGTGTTTATCCTATTTTATTAAATTGTTTATGTGCGCTTTCGGCTCGAATATACATGCATAACCGGGCAGATGGCATAAAAGTGCCATCAGTGTGATTAAGCTGCAGGCTCCGTTGTGGGTTTAGGGTTTTGGATACCGGACACCGAGCTCCGAGCTCCAAACTCCGAACTCCGGTCCCCTGAATTCTGGTTACGGGGCGCCTCCAGGCTCTCCACGGGCCAATTGTCGTGACAATGTGCATGTCAAATGTCAGGGAGCATTATAAAATTTATAAGCCCATGCATGCAGTCGGGTCGAATTCGCATTCGCATTCGAACTGCTGTCCTGCCCTCCTTTGACCCCAATCAGAGTCATAGTCAGAGGGGGCGGGGGGTCACGGCCAATGGAAATCGTCCTGCCCTCGGGCCACAGACTCTCATAAACCAGACTCTTATCAACGTGGGCGTGTGTGGATGGGATGTGGCTGTGGATGTGTGCGCACTGTCAAAGTTTTATCAATTTTGCCAATTTTCAGCTTAAACTTGTTTGACATTTGAGCATCTGCCTGTCGTTCCAATCCCATTCAATTATTGTAATTGCATCTGCAAAGGGTTTTAAGGAACAAAGGGAGGTCGACTTCTGGCAAGTGGACACTCGCCGCACAGTTCTTGAGCTATGAAGAAATATGCGAGTGCCTCAACATTCATTTAATATGAGTTATAAAATATTACATGTTGCTTAATTATTAATTATCGAAGAATAAAAAAAAACATAACAGAAAGGAAGGTTATAGTGCCCCGACTATCAGATACCCATTACCCAATTTTTGAAACGCCTTGGCTGGTGATCCTGATCAAGAATATGTGTACCTTATGGGATCGGAAAGGCTTCCTTGTACCTGTGACATTTCCATTAAATTCCTTTTTTTCCGATTTTCAATCGTAATTTGAACAACAACACTAAAAAAAAAAACTATGTAAAATTAACACAGAAAAATAGTATTTCACTGATGACAATTACCCACTCAATCCGAACCACTTGATGAACTATCTTTTATTAGACCTCCATGCTTCCAGGTATGCAAATCACGTTCAGTTTTTAATTTAGTTTACTATTTAATAATACGCATAATTACATACATAGTAATTGGGTTTCGTTTTTTGTTTTAGTTGGATTTAAATTTAGGCTTAAACGATACAAGAGAGTCTATTACAAGTATGCCATAATCGTATGCATGTATATATAATGGTATTCGTATTTGTATTTGTATTTGTATAATTTGTAATTGGTAGTCGTAAAAGTAATCCATTGGATGCGTGCACTCTGAAACGGTTTTTCTTGTTCGATTTTCGACTGAGCTTCACTTTTGCTATAGTTGGGGCTGCTCGTTTGATATATTCTATGGGTTGTGGCTGTATCGTATGGTTAGATCAAAGATAGCAACGGAACGGAAGTATACTGCCTATACACAAAAACAACAACACTTACATGAGAATAGATCTACTTACACGTACACTCCTAGTCGTAGTTATGCTTAAGTACTAAGATCTAGCGCGAGACGCCTTGCCAAAAATTATTGTGACGCTGGGAGGATACTAAATCCTGGCCATCCTGGCGATCTAGTTTATACAGTTTTTTTCTCGTATACGGCAAATGTTACGTCTAATGTCTACATATTCATGCGGGAATAGTTATGGCTTAGGACCTAGTTCTTCTGAATAAATCATTTAGTGCCTTCTCAAGCTTCGTTTCTCGTATACATGGTTTACATTCATTATAGTCTTTTAAGTTTAATCTGGGAAATCATGAAATCATGAAACAAATAATGCAAACACATAAATTGTACAATGCCCTAAGCCTAGGTTTTGGTTATCTTATAACGCCTCGCTGACCAACGGTTATCTGTTCGAATGCGAGCTTTTCACCACTCCACATCCTGCGTCCTAGTTTAAATCGGGCCCACTTCCGCAGTTGGAAAACCCGTAATCCGAAAAGCTTTCGAAGCTTTTCAACAAATTTCAGTACACCGAATTATGGTGCTCGTACTGGGCGTGGTGAAGGTAGGTAGGAATCGCTGTGGCGTTTAGTTCCGACGCCCGCCGCCGCAGCGCTGCGATGCTGTGTCCCCGCCACACGTCGTCGTCGTTGGCGCCATCTGTGGGCGACTGCATGGACTGGTGGCACAGCGGAATTCCGGCCTCTTGCTGCTGCTGTGTGGGCGTCGGTGGCGCCATCTGCGGGAGGATAGAGAAAGTAGTTAGAGAAAAAGCCGTAGCCGAGACACGAACCCTGGTGAACTCACCTGCTGTTGTTGTTGGTGAGCTTGTTGCTGCTGCTGCTGTTGGTGAGTTTGCTGCTGTTGTTGTTGGTGAGATTGCTGCTGTTGGTGAGTCTGCTGTTGTTGTTGCTGGTGCAGCGGCTGAAAACCACAAATTAAAGAGTCATTTGTATAATTTGTATTATTTAATTATACCCTTGCAGAGGGTATTATGATTTCAGTCAGAAGTTTGCAACGCAGTGAAGGAGACGTTTCCGACCCCATAAAGTATATATATTCTTGATCAGCATCACAAGACGAGTCGATCTAGCCATGTCCGTCTGTCCGTCTGTCCGTCTGTCCGTCTGTCCGTCCGTCTGTCCGTCTGTCTGTTTCTACGCAAACTAGTCTCTCAGTTTTTGAGCTATCGGGACGAAACTTTCGCAAAAGTCTTCTTTCTATTGCAGGTAGTATATAAGTCGGAACCGACCGGATCGGACAACTATATCTTATAGCTGCCATAGGAACGATCGGAAAATTAATGAGAAATATTAGAAAATTGAACATTTTTGCGATTTGTAAATTAATAGGAATGATCTGCAAGGGTATATAAGCTTCGGCTGGCCGAAGCTAGCTTCCTTTCTTGTTTGTATTTGTATTAAGTCAAATATTGGGATTTTTAATCAAAAATGTTTTAGGGACCTTTTTCCTCTACAGGTAAATTTGTAGAGACAAAGGAGACGAAACCGGGACTGGTAGTTGCCGCCGGGATTTGTTTTGGGTCTACTTGACCTGGTCTTCCACACGTTGCGTAGAAAAAGAAGGTTTGGAGACGCAACTCGGTAACCTACCTGACTCGAAAAAACCGCGCGAAGTTTACTGATTTATTCACAATTCTCAGGGCTTCTTTTCAAAAATTTTGTTTTTTATTTTAACTCTGATTTTTCCCTAACATTCGCACTTAAGTTGGCTACTCTGATCTCCTAGCTTACATCAATGTACTGCGATTTAGTTATCATAATTTTCGCATCATTAAATATACTATAATATTTTTATCTTTCTTTATTACTTCTTCAGCACTACTTAAAATAACATTTAATTTAATGAGTAAAATATTACAATAAATTTTTTGTTATGTGTTTATTCCGTAGGAATAAGTTTCCAGAGAGTACTTACCATGGGTTCGCCGTTCAGCTCGTTTTGGCTGGAGTTCGGCTGCGCGGAAAGTGGCGGTGGGGTCACCGAGGAGCAGCTGTTCATGTTCGGCGGGGTGGTGGCGCTCGGCGAACCACTGGGCCCACAGCTGACCCCGCCCACACTGTGCTGGTACATCATGGAGTCGCCTGCGGGAGAAAAAGTACCAGAGAAATAATTAATAGGCGGCCTTCAACGCTGCACAGATAGAAATTAAAGCATTAGTTCATTAGATTAAAGGAACTAACATTTTTTGGAGACTAGAAATTAAAGCATTATTACATTAAATTAAAGAAACAAACATATGTTGGATCCTGGAGTAATACGATTTGAATATAATTCAATTCTTATAAGACTTAAATGAAATATCAGAAGCAATTTTTTCATCTAATTAAGTTATGCATGCATTAAGGGTCAATATCCGAGTTATTTAAATCCAAAGGTGATCGTTAAGTAAATTGAAATTGGAATAATGTCCAACTAAATTCTAATTTAATAGGAAAAGAAAAAGCAGAAGCAACCACATCAATGGGTTCAGCTAAAGAAAATTGTTCCAGGATAAAAAGCACTGCATTAAGGGTTGCACAGAGGGTTTATGTTAACTTCCGAGTTATTTAAATTCAAATATGATTGATAGGCCCACAAGATGCCTTGTGATACATAGTCGTTATGTGATGTCACCCGGAGATTCAAGCGACCAAGGCAGGGCTCGAAAAAATTAAAAATCCTCAACAAAAAGTGTAACAATTAAAACTTTGCTGACGGTAGCAAGAGCCAAAAAATACAAAAATACAAAAAATCGACATGAACATGTCTCCAAAATGTCAATTAGCACAACTATACGAAACCAAATAGAGAAGATGAAAAAATGCCTTTGGGTATTCCTGAAAATTAAACGACTGCCTGTTAATTGATCGAGCAAACAGAGGCAACCCGGGGGCATTATAAATGATACGATGTATATTTTTTGGGGCTACCGAAAAAGAGGAAAAAAGTGTTATGAGTTCAGAGAAATGAGAGACGCGGACTGTGGCGTCGTGTTTGGTCAATTGTCGGCCAGAACTGGAACTCAGAAAACTGGAACTGGATGGCATCGAAAGCTAAGCAAATAAATCCCCCAGAAATAATAAACAAAAAACATGGCAGGCGAAAAAGTGTCAACGCTTGGCTTTTGTCAGCCGCATGCAGATGGAAAATTTCCATTCCGGGCATGTGATCTTGGATCATCTGGGATGGGAGGTTTCTTTACCCAGAGCATTCAGTCCGTAGTGCTGATAGCTGCCCGCTCCCAAGGCGGAACCCATGTTAATGCCCGAGTTCAGGCCGCTGTTCAGCGAGGACGAGAGCGGCGACGACTGATTCAGCTGGCCAAAGCCTTTTCCCAATCCAAAAAAGCAGCAGTTAGTTGGGGATACGAGATATTAAAGTTAGTGGGTAGTTAAATTTTTTAGGGGACTCTAAGATCACTCACCTGCCGTCATGGGGTTAACGCCCACGCTCCAGCGATCCCCGCCAAACATTCCCGTGCCGCAGAGGCCATCGCCCATGGCGATATTGGTGATATTAGCCCCAAACGGCGGAAGTCCATGGGAGGGCAGCAGGGCGCCCGGGGTGCGGAACACATTGGTGGTCTTCTTGCGCTTCTTCCACTTGGCGCGGCGGTTCTGGAACCAGACCTGTAAAAATGAAGGGTAGGTTGATATTACTAATGAGTTTACTGTTGTTATTAAATTTAATGTTCTACGATTTAAATATTCCTGCTATTTCTTTACCTAATGAAACTAGATAAACTTTAATCAACATTATTTGTACCTAATTTAAATTTAATTAAATATGAATTGATCTTTTTCCTGCAAAAAACTAATAAACCAAACAAAACTGAACTAATATTAAAAAACACTATTGAAAAAGTTGGTTTTAATTAAATTATTTTTTTTTTAATTCAGTTTTGCTTTTCTTACATTTTTTAAATAATGACTCACAATTCTTAAAAATTTTATGGAATTTATTATGGAATTTTAACCTTAACCTTAATTGAAAATGTTTAATATAATTTAAGGATTTTCCCAGTTTAGTTCTTGAATCTGCGACAGGCCTGTTTTGGCCCTTAACTGGGGGAACGCCCACCCAACCCTTCGGGTTTCTTCCGACGCTGTTTGCCTCCTACGAACACGGTCTTAATCGAGATCAATTACCGCCGTGACAGTCAAAACATGTCTCGACACAGCATACACACTCTCGCAGAAACAGAAACGGATTTACATGGGCATAAATTCGATATGTAAATTCCTCAGCCTATCTATATAGGGGATGCCCAGTCCCAATCCCACCCACTTTCCGGGCAATTTGGCATCTTTGGCCAGCGAATCCTGGCCGGACCTACGCTTTTGTCTTAGGCCGAGAGAGAGGAGCAGAGGAGAGAAGAGGTCGAGGCCCATGTCGGATGTGTTCGCTTCAAATTGGCATTTCCATATGCATAAGAACAGCGGAGCAGAGAAACAAGGTAGACACGTTGAGGTTTTGACATTTACAAGGCAGCACACAAGCACTCCCCACGTCTCCTTTTCCCCCAGCCCCTAACTATCACGTAACCTCCACATAACCGGAAGGGGTGGTGCGAAAAGGGTTGCCTACATTTAGGAGTTTTCAATTTCAGTGCATTCTCAGTTCTCGACTTTCAGCTCCTTTTTATTCATTTTTTTTGCCTCCTTCGAGCGGCGCTACAAAAAATCGGAATAAAGTGCCAGCCCTTGAATGACTAGTGACATGGAAACGATTTTCGCATCCACATCACTCGCAGTCGGGTTGACAACTTAACCGTTACTCACCCACCCACCCACTTTCGGGCACATAGATATGTAGGTATATGTGTGTGCTGGCTATATAGTATTTATAAATCCCAGCATTTCGTGGCAAATCTTGAGCTGTCACCGACTGTCGGCGTCGACGTCGCCTGTTTCTGTCTGAGTGCGCCAGACTAATGGCAAAGGAATACGAATACGGCCAAAAGAGCGGGCCAAAAGCGGGAAAGCCTGGAAAGGGGGAAAGGGGGGTTCGATGGCAGAGCCAGAAAGAAAAATGGCAAGTTTCGAGCAAAGTAACTTTGCTTGTAAGGCCTTCTGATGGCCTGATGGTCCCCAGTGGGTTTGTCATATGTCGGACAACGGCAGACGGAACCAGAAAAACCGAAAAACAACCAGTTCGCGCAGAGAAAAAAATCAATCCGAATTCAAAATCCAGAGTGCGGCATTAAGAATGTTCTGTTTTCATATTATTTTAAGCAATTTATTTCTGTGTCCTCTTAAATATAGTTGAAAAATAAAAAAATAGTTAAGTGCTGCTACCAAAAAATTGTTTTCAATGGTTTTCATATTTTCACTGCGCATAAATAAAATAAATAAAACTTAACATATTTTTCATGTTTAAGAATAAAAATAGTTTAATTAACATAATATGCATTTAATTGACTTAATCCTTAAGCTAAAGCGGTTTTTCCCAGTGCACCCATTTGAACTCAGCAGAACTGGAACTATCGCAGGTTGTTCAGGTTGTTCATATCACTCGTTTTCTGGATGTTACACCAGGGACGCTAATGTGCCAGATTGTGCCAGGGATAATGGATGGAGAAAGGGTGGGTTGATGGGGTGATATACTTTTATATATATATAGTATATTCCTGGGGGTTGGGCGGTGTCGGCGACCTTGACTTGTTTATGTTTTTTACGTGCTTATGCGGCGCTCTATTCATTAACTTTTAATTTAATAATTTAAGACAATGTCTGACTGTCTGGCCTCGGTTCTCTGTCTCTCTCTCTCTTTTTCTCGCTCCCTCTCGCTCTAACCGTGTTGCCATCTCATTCTGGCTTATTGAGTTTGGTAAATTAAATTTAGCTTGCTGTTTTATTTTGCTAGCCACATTCGTGTGAGAGCATTTCCCTACTGGCAAACACACACAGACACACCTACCCACACACCCACACGAAGAATGCGAACGGAAATAAGCAGAAGAAGAAGAAGAGGGTGAAGAGGAAGAGAAAGCCAAAAGTCATTGCCTGCTTTTTTGGCCTCTAAGGCTGCGAGCCATTAAATTGGCATAACGTGCATGACGTGCACGGCACGTAAATAGGCGTTAAAATGTCGGTTAAACAAAACATTTATTTTTTATGTCTGCCTGAAAATTGTACGTATGTATTTGGGAATATTTGAGGGTGTGTGCCAGCCCAGGCAATCCCACTTTGTATATATACGTTTTTGATTTGTTTTCACTCCTGCTTCCTTTTTTCCCCAGGCTTCCTTCAGTTTCAACCAATTTGAAGCGTGAACCCAAACAAAGCATAAAGAATAGCTCCTTATGCCGCGTTAAATTGTGTGTCTAACGGTAATTTTTTAAGCTTCACCCTTATGCATAAATTATCAGCTGCTGAGTGGCTGACTTTCACCCAAAAGCCAAATCATACGCCGTTTTTACGGTTTTTTGTGGGGGAATTTTCTTCAATCAAAGCAAGGAATTTTTAAAAGCATATTTTTAGGTTTTTTTTAATGAAATCTTGGCTAGAAAATTACATTAAATTATAAATGATAATAAATTGATCACCGCCACTTTACTGCTTATTTAGAAAATATTATTTTTGTTGAAAATGTTCAAAAACAAAAATCTCTGAAAAAATATTTAATTTAATATTTATAATTTACTTTAAATAATTTAATTTTTTGAATTTTTAAACATTTTTTTTAATTTTTATTTTTTTACACTGAATTGTTATTTTTGTTGTAGTTTTTTTAATAGCAAGTTTAATATCTACAAATTCTTTATTTCATCGACATTTTTTTCTACTTGTGCTGTATTTATAATTCACTTTTTAAAAAATAATATTTAACCAATTTTAATTTGAATAACCGTCTGGTTCAAAAGAACTTTCCAACTGCAGACTGCATAGCCAGACAGACAAAAAATAGAAAACCATAACAAGTTGGTGGTCCGCAAAAAATTTGAGCCATATGTTCCATACAAAAGCATTTTCATGTTTGGACTTTTAATTTTCACTTCTCGACTGACACAAACAAAAATAAGCCACAAAGGCAGAGGAGACACCACCGGCAAAAGGCAAAGGGAAAACAAACAAAGAAAAGCAGGGGGAAAAACGGGGAGGGGAGGGCAACTGTTGCAAATAATAAATGAGTCAAGTTCATGAAAAAGCAATTCCTTGTGGCAGGCCGCAGATATTAGCACCCAGGAATCCCGGAATCCCGAACCCAGAAATCCAGAAATGCCCACGAGGGGCGAGCAAATGGAAGCAGAAGTCAGAAATTAAGTATCGGCCAAATTACACGGCGAACGCAGGGGAACTGCGGCTGCAAATGGGATAACAAGTGATTTGCCTTGATTTTATGGGCTGGTTGGTGGATGGTGTCCTTATTTTTCCGGGGTGGCAGTTCATATAGAGCGTAGATCCCATTTTGATGGGGTGGGTGTCAAAGGAGCAACGGCTTTTTATTATGAACCTGTTTATTGTGTCGCTGTCATCCCGAACTTATGATTGCAGTTGCGTGCCCTAATGGTCTTATAGAGACGATGATACCCTCTTGTTTACGATATCCGCTCGGTTCGTTATGCAACATTAATTGCACATTATGCCTAATGGCTGATTAAACAGCTGTAAGGATAATAACAGCATTTTTTCCATTCCATGTGATTTGCATTTGACAGAGAATCCATAAATCCCACAGAGCCTACATAGAAATGCACTTTGCCACCGAGAGCCGCACACTTGAAAAGCCAATTTCAAAATTATCAATCAGAAACAGAGGGAAAATATGGGAAAGAGTTGCGCGCGAGCTGCAGAGAAATGCAATCAAAATTCGATTAGCCCCGAATGCAAATGTTATTGGAGGGGCGAAAAGAGGGGAGCAGGATAGTTGGATCCATTCAAAAACCGTAGGACAGGTGGAGAGCATCTCTTAATAAAGGCTTGATTGGCAAAAGCCAGAAAGTGCAATAATATTTTTCGGCTCGTTTGCGTTGACAATTTTTGCTGGCACTGCTTCGATTTCTGTTTCTGTTTTTGCCGACTGCAGATTGGTTATTGCCCCGGCATAATCGAAAATCAATTGGCCAGGATATTGCTTTTTCTTGAACCCACTCCAAGCCAGGACCTCCTCTCTCCCACTGGGGCTGCCAGGCAACCGAAATATAAAATGGCCACTCAACAAAGTCCACACACAAACTGTCCCCTGGCTGCCGGCCTTTGATGTCCTCCCTGTTTTCCCTGCTCCTCGTCTCCGTCTTCATCTTCAGCTCGAGAGCATCTTTTTATTATCATTATTGTCCTTTCATATCCTGCTAGTCCTGCGACTCCCGGGCACTGAGTGGTTTATGGAAATCGCTTTTCGGCCAATATCTTTTCATTCCTGAGCATATAAAAAATGCGTATAAATTCATAAAATGCCGTCTCGCCTTCGGGACCCCCTCTCAGTTCCCTGTGTTCCCTACACACACACAAATGCCAGTCGATTTATTTTATGTTATCCTTTAAATCCTGCTTTACGAGTCAGCCTCCTCCCACCCAGCTCAAGCTGAAACTTCCCCCGGGATTGGAGCTCCAACCCGCCGAGACCGAGACCGAAACCGAGGCCACTATGGCCGTCTCTCTCTCCCACACTCTAGCCGTCCCTTTCGGCAAATTGTGTCCTTTGATAGACATCATCAAAGCGATTCCTTGGCCGCTTTTTTTGGGGTTGCCTTAGATTTATGAAATAGTTTTAGATATTTTTTTCGGATTTCCGGGACTTGTGTTTTTCATTTCGCCCATTTATATTGTGGGTTGCCGGGACAACTGCAGCCTCTTCTTATTTTGGGGTGGGAAGGGGCTCTGAAATAAGGGGGTTTCGGGGGATTGGCCACCAATGCAACCCCCGAAATTGTTTCGCTGCATTCGTGGAGCATGCGCAGCTGGAGGATGCTCCCCTTTGGTTCCATCTTCACAAAGTTTTTCGGCCTTTTTTGCTTTGTTTTTTGGGTCGTGGGTCCCGGGGACTCTTGTCATTCTATCAATGGCAGCAGCATTTGGACCAGCTTATCCCAGATAGACCCCCGCCCATCCAGCCCATCCTGCAAAGTCCGTCCGGCACTTTGGCACGCCATTTTCACACAAACATTTCAATGAAAAGTATCAACGAAATTGCTTTCGGAATTGCTTCATATGCCATAAACAGAATGCGTGCCAGATTTCCTTGATGCTCTTTATGTGCATTTTATGGAGAACCCGCCCTCCGTCCTCCATTTCCCAGGCTTTCGGATTTTTAAAGCTTTCGCTGAATTTAGCCCCTCCACTTATTTCGCTTTGGCTCTCCTACCTTTCCTCTGATTTTTTCCTGTATTTTCCGTTGGCTGCATATTTTCGTTTTTGGTATTTCAATTAAAGTTTAATTAAAATTTGCGATGCCATGGTTATATCAGTCGCGACCCAGTCGCCTTTGGCCCGCCTTCGAGTGTTTCGCTGGAAAATACTTGTTACAATGTCCCCGGCTCCTTGACCCCGCATTTACCCACTACCTACGTAGCCCCGCCGAGCTTTTAATAAAGATGCTCACTTTTTATGAGAATATTTCGTCTAATTTTCGCGAAATATTCGCATATTGCGAGGGAGTTACATGATATCCCCCAGACCCTCATCCTCTCCAGAATCCAGAGTCACAAACAGCAGTCGGGGGACTATTATTAGAGGGGCATTAAGCGGCTCAGCAAATAAATTAGTTCTGTCTGAAGTCGAGGCAATAATTTATCAACGCTCACAGTGGGAAGGCCGATGAGTTTACTTCTGGTTGCGAATGGCCTGCCTTTTACTTCGCCTGTGGCTCAGGCCAATCGATATTCCCTATTCCTGCTGAATCACTGAGAATTGAGGTTGTTTTCGGAGAACATTAAAAGTTAGTTGCCATTTTAGAGTAGTTTTTAAAGATGGTTTTAGAGAGCCATAAAGGTAATTAAAAATTTAAAACAAGGTTTAAAAAACCTCGATATGTTTATTCAAACATTAGTTTAAAGGAAGTAGTTGGAAATTATTTTTTTACATATTCTAAAATATCTAAGAATATTTTCTAAAATTATATTGAGACACACTTCAAAAGATTAATAATATGATTGTCTAAATCCGAAGATTTGCTCATTTAAACTAAGTTCGTTTAGTTGCATCTACATTAAAGCATTCATTTCAATATTTTTTATTTAATGAATTATTGTTTAAATACATAAAATTTCAATATTCAATGTATCATTGAATCATCACTCTTAATAATTCTTGTGGTTCAAATTACTCTGATTGCTTCAAGGATTTTAGCAGCTTGGACTTAATATGGTTTATTTAAGTTTATGATCTAAGACCCAAAGATTTGTGTCAAAATGGGAATGTAAGATGCAATTGTAATAAACGGCATTAATACTTTGGCTAATAACTGGTTATAAAATGGTTGCCAAGCAAATGATTAGATGCCCGATTCTGTTTTACTCCCCTTCACCTGAATATTTTCCTGAGAACCTGCTTTTCTTGGCCCAGGTTGCCAGGCAAATTAATCATGTGAGAAATTCATTTAGTGCACTGGCACACCCACACACAAACAGACACGTGCTGTGCCGCCGTTCGACCTTCTCCTTTGACCCCTCCCCTTTGTCCTCCTTTACAACAATTTAATAAACAAACCAATAAATGTTGCAGCGTTCCAGACAAAGCCGACAATGTGCTGTTGACAATGTCCGATCATGATAAGTCAATTTGGTGGGCCATCTCCTCGGTTACCCCTGGAAAATACTCCACCCCCCTGAAAATTCCGCACCCCACCCCCCGCAGAGATGTCACGTGTGACAAACAGATTGTCCCTTGCAAATTGCACAAATGCCGCCCACTGGTTTTTGGGCGGTGTGAAAACACAAATTAACAATTGCCTTTTGGGGAGCCTCCCGCTGTTTTCGTCTATTCTAATTTAGCCAGAAAATCGGGAAAAATCCGATTAGGAAAAAGGCATTCAAGGAGAAGCTCAGCTCAGGAAACTTGGGAAACTCCTTAACTGCGACTTTTATTCTTATTAAATTATATTTACCATAAATGATGCTCACACGCGTGTGTGTGTGTTAGGCAGTCGGCACTACGTGAGGCTCATAACTTATGCACCTGCCCTGTCGAAATCCAGCTAAAACCCCCTTTAACCCCCCTGTAACCCCCCTTTAACCTCCCTTTATCCCTCATTTTAACACATACCAACTTTGACTTGATTTTTGGGGCTAATATGGACAAGCGTTTTTCGGTCATTTATCTGGGGGAAAAAAGGGGGGACTTTCAGGGGAAAGTCGGCTGTCTTTATGCCGTCATTAGCTGCAAATCCTTGTAGATTGATTTAGGGCCAGACGTGTGTGTGCATATCGAATGAAGGTCCGACCTCAACAGTCGCTCTCACATATCCGTTAAAGTGTGAAATGCTCTAAATGTTTCAGTTCGCCTTCGACTGCGAACTTAATTTATATGCTAATTTTATTAAACAGCAATCCCAAAACTAATCCAACGGCCTGACATCCTCTAAGCCGCAACGACAACGCAAAATCAGGCATTAAAACAGCGGGAATAAAAAAAACAGAGCAGCGGAGAGCCGTCGGCAGTTCTAACAACAATATCCTGCAGACTCCCAACCCCCGGTGGAAATTCAGAGAATTTACCCCCTGGCAGGTGATTGCATTGTCCTTTTCGACAACCGGATTCTGGGGGCTGGGCGAGTGGTTCTTTGGTTGGAAAAAAGCATTAACGGCCAACACTGATACGCAATTATTAAAACAATTTATCAAAGTAGCAAACATCCGGTGGAGGTGTTGTGTGTGTGCGATGCGGGACAGGATCATCATGGAGGTGTCGTCGCATTTGCTCACTCATGGCTAATTGTTTTGGCCAGGAAAGCCAAAGTAGTAGTAGATATGGTCGAATAAGCCAAAAGTTTTTGGCATTCATTCGGACAATCTGAGGGGAAATCTCAGCAGAAGAGGAAAAGCAGTGAAAGCGGAAGCGGAAGCTTAAACACAAATTTAATGAAGCAGTAAATTCGATTGTCGCATAAACAAAGCACGCCCGCATGCAAAAAGGACTTCCGAGGGGGGAAGGGGGAGGTGGCAAAAGAGAGACAAGGATAATGGCAGCAGCACAGGGGAGCTGTGCCAGCCACAAAAGGATAATGCCCATTCTGTATCTGTATGTGTGTGTGTGGCGCAAACTTTTCTGCGAAAAAGGAAGAGCATCCTGGGGAGTCTTTCTGTGTGTGTGTGTGAGTAAGGAGGCAGGGGGCGTGGCTGAATGCCCGACTAAATGTGACTTTATGTGCTTTAATAAAGTATAATTTTGGGCGCTTAAATGGCGTTCGGCGGCGTCTCTCAGCCCAGAGCCTCGTAAACTGTTGCGAGCTGGCAAAAAGGATATCCCCGAACTTTTCGACTGCAGTCGACTCGGTCTCGCAACCAAAATCCAAACGTCCGTTGCGGTTGTGTGCAACACAAGTGAAATGTCATGTCCGTCCTAAAACGAACTGAGCCCCCAAATTCCGACAGCCCCGACCAACTGACAACTGTCGAGCCGCAGGACAAACCACGCAAAGTTAGCATACAGAGCTAGAAAAAATAATTAGCCAAATAAATGGGAATTAAGCATCACAAAGAGGGAAATTTCTTGTACAAAACCAGAATATTTTTTTTATAAAGAAGATTAAAAGACTTTTTCTAGTATCCTATTAAAATTGTCTAGTATAGAGTAGAATATCTTCACGATTCCAAGAAGAATTTTTCTCGAAGGTAATACTAAGCGCTGTCGATTTCAAGAGTTAGTGCTCTTTTTTCCAAGAGTAAATCGTTCTTGGTTTTAATTAAACTTTTTTCTCTTATCAAGACGAAACTATTGTTGTTTTCAAGAGCAATTTATTCTTGAAAGGTGCTCTATTTCAAGAACATTTGTTCTTAAAAAGGAAAGAGAAAAGAAGAAATAGTTCTGAATTCAAGCAGATTTTCTCTTAATAAATACAGGTTGCGAGTTGTAACTCTTGGGAAGTCTGAGTCCTATTCCTAAACCTTTTATCTCCCAAACTATAGATTTAAGTGGGATTCACTCACCTGAACGCGGGACTCGGTGAGGCCGATCCGCATGGCGATCTCCTCGCGCATGAAGATGTCCGGATAGTGGGTCTTCGAGAAGCATCTCTCCAGCTCGTTCAGCTGGGCGGGAGTGAAGCGGGTGCGGTGGCGCTTCTGTTTGTTTTTGTCCAGGTGCTGCAAGACAGACACGGCCAAGAAAATGGGAACAGGTGAGTGCGTTGGCCTTATCGAGTGGCTCTTAGAACACTGACGAACTACCAGACTAGGAATGCAAGCTACGCACTACGTTATTGGGGTTTACGGTTTAACAGATTACAGATTACAGATTAAAGGTCTACAGAAGTTATATATTTAGTTGGGATTAGACTAGAATAGGAGTTCTACGGTTCTAAGTATGGAAATCAAAGTACACTTACTTTTGTTTATAGTTTACGGATATGATTCATAAGGTACGAGTATATGATTCATGGCACATTTAATTAGGTTCATTACACAATTCAGAACACACACATTCACGTTTTTGGAAACGGATCGAATTTCGGATCGAATTGGATTGTATTTGATTTTGGATTTTTGGCATAGCAGAGTAGAATTTGAAGGAAAAAATAAACATCGAAAACATGGATTATTAAAAAAGTTTCGTATCAACTAGGCGCTATGTCACTCCATCCATCTCTCTCTCTCTTTTGTCACTAGGACTTTCTCCCCTTCTCTTTTTTTCTCTCTCTTTATAGCGCTGGCCTGCTCACCTGATCCTGTTGCTGCATGCTGTTGTTGTTGCTGTTGCCGTTGTTGTTGTTGTTGTTGCCGTTGCCACTGTTTCCGTTTCCGCTGTTCAGCGCATTGGAATTGTCGCACAGTCCGCCGGAAATGTGGAGGCGTGCCACACCGCCGCCCACCTGGACTCCGCCAGAGGATCCGCCGCCGCCTCCGCCGAGATCGGCCAAGTTGGGACCCACGGGCAGTTGGCCAAAGCTGTTGACGCCCGCGTGCAGCGCTGTCAGCGCGGCCTTGGGCAGATCACAATCCTTGGGGCCTAAGGGATGGTACAAGAAAAAGGGTAAAAGGTATATTATTAATTATTAATATTTCAGGAGACATTTAAATCATTTAACAGTCCTACCAAGTTCTCAAACAATATCCGACGGCTTTTTTAAATGCCAACTATTCTCTTAAAACGACCAATGTCTTATAACAATAAAATTGAGTAAGGAATAAACGAATGCTTAGAAAATACCGATGTTTAGTTATCAAAATCTATTGGATGTAGATCCCTCAAAGGGTATAAGTTCCCTGTATCAAAGAAACACTTTTTGAAACTACAATTAATTAAAACAGATAATATTTATTGTCTTTAATGCCTGTTTAAACCAACTTGGATTTTTTTTAAATTTTCTTCCTCACATTCTATTAAGGTCTCTAAGTTTCTGAAAAATATTCGTTGTCAATATCACCAACAAAGTCTATATACAACCGAATATTCCATAAAATATAATATTCCATCACTCAGTTCAAAACTAATTGGTTGAATTTGTATAAAATTACTCTTTATTTAGCACTCATTTAAGGATTTGCCATTTATCCAATGATACTTTAATATATTAAGCACATCAGTCACTTAATGTCACAGTTTCAGTTGGCCTGGAAAAACTTTTCAAAAGACTTGACTAGTCTCAGATTCCTTTTACTAATCGATTTATATTTCTGCAGTAAACAATGATTTTCTTCTTCGTGGATTGGATCCTGAACCTCGCTTGCATTGGCATACACTGGATGATTTGGAATCTGGCCAAAATGATTCTAATGCAATCGTCCACTGTTATGGTGATACTTGCCCTTAGGCACTTTTGCTTAAGACGTTCGACTTCGGATCCGCCGCCATTAAACGGATACAAATTGCGGGGCGAAAAGGCCAAGGAGACGCCAAATCGTCAGTTGACAAACGGGAATGTAAGTAGTCACCTTTTGATTTATTTGTAGTATTTAGATTTTAATTATCCACGAAAATTCACAGATGGAAGGTCAAAACTGAGGCTGAAAATACCCCTGCACACACACAAATATTTTGTTGAATTGTTGATGAATCTCCGAATGAATTACAATGCGATTCGACATTCACTTGTTCCGTTTGCCTTTTAATTAATTTAGTTTCTCGTTGGATGCGCGGGTTACTTTTTTTTATAATTTCTGGGGACCGGTGAGCTAACGAACTAGAGGATTGCTCGGAACGAACTGCGGCGATCGGCTAAATTGAATTTTTCAACAACCTGTCATTCAGAGGGAAAAAGATGCCAAAAACAGTAACGAACGTGAGAGAGAGCGGGCTGAACAACAAACTAAAGGTGCGAGACACACGGATATGGCCAGAAGTTGAAAGATACAGATACAAGTGCAGGCTGGGCTACAGATACAGATACGAAAATCAGTGAGAGAGAGCCGCCAAGTGTGCTAACCCCTTTTCCTTAACCATTTCCTACCTTCAGGCCTCACTTGACTACGTAACGTATTTTTATTTCACTTCCATTTTATTTGTACGTGTATATCGCGGGATGGGATGGTATGGTATAGTATCGTATGGGATTGAAAGGGGTTAGGGGTTCGGGGTGCGGGATTCACGGGAGAGTCATCTTCATCGTACGCCTGGAATTTTTAACATGTACGTGCGAGAGAGACTCCGATTCGATTCCCTTTGTTGGCCGAGAGCTCAACTGTTGCTACAAGTCAAACATTTACTCATCGCCGGTTGATGCGAACTCTCGTCCCCGAGTTGTAACCCCGCGATGTTGTCACAATGGCTCCCATCTCCCATCTCTCAAGTCCATGCGATTGGGCCTAAAGTGAAGGTGTAGGCGGTTATCGGTCGCTGCCCACTAACCTTGTGCCATTTCCACTGAAAGCGAGTCCGAAATGCAAATCCCGAGTAAGTGGAAGAAACCCTCTCCTTCTCGGTACCCAATCATTTTAAATCCCCAATCCATTTACATTTCAATTTCTTTAGGCAGACACAACAACACTCTCGATTGCCGACTTTGATGTTGCAGCGGTGGCCGGAATGGCGGCTCTCAATGATTTTTATTGTTTTCGAGATGGACTTGTTAAAATTTCGGCATACATCACAGGTCCGCGGACGTCAGCAATCCGGAGCGGCGTATTCGATCACAAAACTCCCCAAACAGGTGAACGAGTTCAGGTCGACGGGGGTAAAAGACAAGACGCCACATAAAACCATAAATATAAATATCAACAAATAAAAGATATAGAGTTACCACAGGCGACATTCCCTGAAAACGGGCGTTTTAAAGCTGCTGCCCCGGAAAGTGCTAATTTTTACACATACACCCAGTGCGGCTACTGTTCATTAGCGATTTTCAGATGGTGACGTCCCCAATCGGGACTATAAGTCACCGACCCCCTTTCCCCCGTTTTGGAGTCGAAGATCCAAAGAGGCAGTGCAACTATACACCCAGAAAACGTAGAGCGAATAATTTAAAAACAAACAAATAAGTTACATTAACCAACATAACCGATTTTAAGTACGAAAGTGTAGTTGAAAACTTAAGAATTCAAGAACATCTGTTCTCAAGTTCAAGAACATTCGCTCTCAAATTAATAACTTTGAATTCAAAATAATAACATGGAACAGCGCTTTATTTTTCCTGAGTGTATACATAGTAAACTGTAGCAGTGATGAAAGCAGAGACCATCTCACTGACATATTTTTAGGGCATTACGCAGCACGCATCGTATACGGTGTCTTGAAGACCGAAGAGTTGCTCCTCCAAACTCTCTGCTCGTGATTAGTAAATTTAAGGCGCGGTGTTAGGTGCGATATCTCCACATATACTCGATTCCCCCGATTCTCTGCGACTGTAAAATTCACGCTCGATGGCAACATCTCAAACATACTATATGTATCTGTATATCTGCGAGTCTGGGAGAAGATACGTTGGTCCGTTGATCCGTTGCTCCAAAGAAGTGCGACTTTTAACATCCAACTGTTCCCGCTTCCTTCTGTTTTCCGTTTTCAGTTTTCTGTTTTGTGTTTTCTCAAATCGAATTTCAAATATATGTGTGTAGCCAAGAGAGTGTGTGTTTGGACCACGTTTGGGAGCCATAAAATAGCGCCACTTCTCGAAATCGCACTTTGCTGGCTGAAAACCCAGGCCCCTTCCCGCCACCTAGCCAGCAAGCCAGCTAGTTAGTTAGTTAGTTGGTCTAACTTTGATTTTTTCACCTCGCCTTTTACAGTTGTAACACATAAATATTAAAAAGAAGCAGCCCTAACTGTTCATCGTGTATGCAGATCAAGATGACGCAGTAGCCACACATTCAGGGCCAAAGTCTCTTGAAAACTGGAAGTGATCTTATAGTAGCAGCTGTATTTAATTTGTTTTATGAGAATCTGAGACTATTATGTGCCAAATAATTCAATAGCTTTATGTTTTTCCTTATATAAAGTTTATAACTTGGTCATTAAATAAAAACTTAACTTGGTCATTAAATAAAATTTACTTGACAAGCCAATATTCTTTTCTCATAATGCCTAAGAGGGCCAACTAAAATGTTGCCAAAAACTACGTGTAAACCGCAAAATTGACTTAAAATCCTATTCGTGTTTCCAAATCATTACGACGCTTGCTAATAGAGCATAATTTTGTAATCTATCATCGTAATTTAGTTTGCTACCACGGGCACCGAAAATTGCGATAAAGTTAATACGAAACTGTAAACATTGCAGCAGAACAGAGGCCAACACAACAGCATCGAGATACACAGAGAGAAATATTAGAGCACATTGTTCTTGAAATGAGAATCGCGTGAGCACATTTTAAGTTGACTATTCTGATTATCAGAACAAAATGGTGGGAAAGAAAAGTTCTTCTTGAATTGAGAACATTCGTTCTTGAAATCTGAGAAAAACATCAACACAAAATGGCGAGAAGAGAAATGTTAAATTGAGTTTAATCAACAACTTTTTAAGACAGTTGTTTAGTTGTTTAGATAAACAAAGTAAATTCCGTCAATTGAACTTGAAAAAATGTCTACTTATTTTTAATAACTTTTTCAATTTTATTTTTAACATCAGAATTCTCTCTGTGTACAAATAATAGTCGCACTCGGATTCGGATTCATTTACATCTGGCCTGAAGCCGACATTTTAGTTGGTGATGTTTAAGAGGAGGTGAAAAGAGGAGCGAAACGTTGCGATACGAAACGAAATGAAAACCGCACAAAGCGATTAATTAATTAAAATTGGCAAACATGAATTTATCGCGCAAGCAATTTGCACAATTTGCGCAAATCAGTTTGCCAGCTTTTTGGGAGCGAACGGCGCGATTTCTCCCGCAAAATATATGGACCTGGTCGGGAATGGTCTGAATGTTCTGAATGGTCTGAATGGACCATACGAAATGGCAGATACCAGAGGACCTGCACCCAGAAACGCCGTCAGTTGCATGTGCAATGTGCATAATTATTGAAATTTGGAAATTGTGCGGTTTTAAGCAGGACATAGGATGCCAGCGTAGGCTGTAGTTGGAGTTGGAATGGAATCGAATGGAATGGAATCTAGGCTGCTCCAACAACTAACCGCAACTGGGAACAGAATCCGCAGCAACCGCAAAACATTTCAATGCAAAACGGATGCCCGTTGGTTAAGAGGGGGTTAGGCGGGGGTTAAGAGGGGGTGAAGCACACATATTTCACTAGCGGAGGCCACCGCAAAAATGCCGAACGCACAAAGCGAAGCACACGCAGATATTTCGAGGGGGTTTTCAGACCCCCTCTGTGCAAATTACAAATGCAATCATCAAATTAATTTAATTAATGCGAGGCGAAAGGCGAGGCTCACGAAAAATGGAATAAAATGAGCGAGTATTTCGAGTTTCTTTCGCTGCATGCAAATTAAGTATTAGTAGGGGAGACACACGGGAAAGTTCAGCCATTTCTTTTGCATGCAAATTGCTCTTAATTGTAAATAGGGGTTCACAACCCCCCAACCCTCCAGCCAGTATGCAAATGTTTTTGGCGGAACTCGGAAAAAGGCTTACGGAATTTATTACGGCAGACTCCGGCACTGCAGGCAGGATTTGGCCAAAGGATTGCGCACTGCGAATCATTGAAATTTATAGTTTTTCGTTGGGGCAAAACGGTTGGCCTAACTTAAAGCGGCAAGAAAACTTTAAAAGCCAACTTTGACAGTCGAAAATATTTATGGAAAGTCGCCCTTTTGAATTTTGGGAAGGAAAAGAATAAAACTCGAAGGCTTTCAATTAAACACCTATATAATATATCCCTGCAACTATGGACATTACGCATACGCCGCTTGGGCCCCGCGAGCGGCGACAATTGGCGCGTGAAAAATGGCAATAAATTAATAAAAGTAATTAATTGCAAACGCTTCGAAGGATGCAAGGATGCTGGCCATAAAAAATTGAATAAAAACGCGAGCCATAACTCAAACACACGGAGCTGCTGCCGCTGCAGTTGCATTTTACAAACAGGCAAACTGCAAATTGGTGGTAGTGTGTTGGCCGGGCTAACAACAAATTGATTGCCAAAATTGAAAGTGCTTGAATTGAAACCATTGATCAACTGTGTGGTAAAAATAATTTACTCTCCCATTCAAACACTTACATACATATACCTACATTTATGCCGGATTTATTAATATATTAATATGCCGACACAAGTTTGATAATTATGTGCGTGCGCCTGTAATTCACAATTTGCGGCATATTTAAAAGAGCAATTATATCAATTAACATACACACAGCCACCCACCCACACGAATGGGCGAAAGGAGAAGGTTTGTCGAGTTAGTTAAATATACAACTTAATTATTGCTAAATGCACGCGACACCCGGCGCCATCTGGTTAGACGCCTCAATTATAGGCCATTTAGCGGACATATCGGAGATGCCGTTCGGAAGATCGGAAGTACGAGTAACTTAACTACCCCAATCCAAAACTTGTAGGTGTGCTCAAGAAATTAGTTTAATTATGGTCCGCCGGATTGATACACACGTCATTATACATTAGCGCAATTCACTGGCCGATCTTAATTACAATATTATACGAATCGCATCGAACTTACCCAGCACATTGGCCCCAAGATTGTTCAGCATGTTTGCCGAGAAGCTGCGGATCGACAGAGTCGACAGTTTGTCGCCGTTTCTGAGGGCCGCTCCAAAAGTTAAGATCACCTTCGATCCGCCGACGTCTGATTCGGGATTCAATTTGATTGAATCGAGAACCGTTTGGAGGGGTGGGGGTTTTAGGGGGGTAGGCAGAATCCCAAGGGGATTGACTGCTCGTATACTCGTCTATCACAGAACGTTCAAGTTCAAGTTCACCTGCGGTGCAAATTACATCTCAATGGATCGGTGGAAATGGGCGTGGCTGAAAGGGAACAGTATTATTAGTTCAGTTTTGAGTTAAAGTAAATTTATAAGTAATTGGATTAGATTTAACTTAATTTTATTATTGTTGTCAGTTTTATTCTCTATTTAATCTGCACGTTTATAATCTTTTGAAACGGGTCTAGCTTAATTTATTTGTTATTTTGAATATCCTACGTTTTATTTTATATTATTTCCGAATTTGTGTTCTTTATTTTAGATTTTTATGTCAAGCCGATCTGGTTGATTCTTACTACTTTCCGTTTTTTAAGAAGAGAATTATATAATTGTTAAGATAATATTTCGATTTTATTATTATCTTAACTAAATCACAATATAATATATCGATTTAAATATTATCTAAACTAAATGAGAAGTTACCAAAGTTATACGAATTTTTAAAGAATTAAAATAACTAAATTCCCTTATCTTCTTCTTGAACTCTGACCCTCGTCAGATGTCCAGCTATTCGGCTAATTCCCGTAATGTGTGTTTTACTTGAAAACTAAATCCGTTTCACTTTCCTTAACCGCAGAAACTTTTGCCAAAGTTCGATTGTGGTGGTATTTGCATTGACTTTTATTGCTCATTTGGCCAGAAAAGGACTCACCTGGCTGCTCCTCCTGCTCCTTTTCAGCAGGATTATGGGTCCGAGGGGTCAGAGTTCAGACCAGTACAGACGATCAAATTGCCATAGTAAAATTAATTAAATGCCTTGACCATAAAAAAGCCAAAGAAATTAAATCGAAGTCACTTGGCCGGAAGTTGCAAAGTTTCCTCGGCTCACACGCACAGCGACACACACACACTCACACGGAGACAGCACAGACACACGCAGACATGCCCAGGTAAAGGACACGCAATGAAACGGAAGTAGTCGACGAATCGTTTATTGATGAACTGTTTGACCAACTGACAGCCGGACACTGTCCACTGTCTTTCACCTCTGCGGGTGTGGTCACTCCCCTATATTTAATTTTTTTGTTTTTAGTGTTTAATTAATAGCTTCTTGGTTTTGTGGCACATTTTCACTTGGTTATTCCTCAGTTTTGGCTTGGTTATATCTTGAGTTTTCTGATGGCGACGGCTTTTGACAGAAGAGTTGAGAAAACGGAAATGGAATGGTATTATATTGTATCGTAACGGAACTGTTCCCCCGAAACGTAGTGCTGCCTACGCGGACTGGCTTGCATTTGAGGGCAGTGCGAAAAAATCAAAGCGAATTGACTCCGAGGATGGAAGTTATCCCTCTGATAGCTTCGACACCAACGACTGCGCAGTGGCGCCGGGACTCAATAGTCACCCCCCCTCGCACAATTGACGGTTGTTAAGTCGAGCGTTATCTCTGCCAGCGGGCTTATCTCCTGCATTGATTTGCAAAAAGTAACCAGAGAAAAAAGAGGGCGGAAAAGAGACGACTGCCTGAACCCACTGCCATCTTGCTTTTGAGCCGAGCGCAAGCTGTCTCTCTCTTGTCTGCTTATGGAAGTGGTTGCTAGAGCGGTTCGACTATACTCGCAGTGCGTAGATTAGGCCACACCCCCTGAGTAAAACCAACGAATGAGGGTTGCCGGGGGCTTTTGGCCCCGAGAACGATAGACCGTTTTGGCGCCCTCTGCGATAAATGGGTCCTTTTCGCCTATCGATAGGCGATGGCCATTGTTCGGTCTCAGGATTCAGGATTCCCTTCCTGAGCAACGAACTTCAACTATACTCCACAGCTGGTCGCTTTGGCAACCTGCGCTTGGCCCACAGTTATTGCCAAAAGTCCACTCCCCGATAAATTGCCCTTAAATTCTTTTCCAGCCGGAGATGCCACGTGTCAGCCTTTAGCCTTCACCTGTTGTCGTTTATTAGTTTCTGTTTCCGCTTTCATTGCTGGGAAGGGGGGCGAAGGGGAACCCCCGCCCGACATTCGGCGGAATTTTGATAATATTTTGCATGCTGCACAAACGTTGAATTAGCCAGACAACGGAATGCCTGGCGAAATGAGAGTTTGGCATGGCAACCGCGCATTTCAAAGGATCTCTAGCCCACCCCCCTCAAAAACCGACCCACCGCCTCTGTTTCGATGTCTACAGTGTACGTTTACAGGTGACTCGGGGGCGTTAATTAAAAACACAAAGTAAAAATTAAAACCACAAGAAGAATGCACAAATATACAGCATTCGTAGTGGGCATCATATATTTAGTTTTTCCTTGTGGACATTTTATTATATTTTTTCAATTGTTGCGGTCATTTTATGAGGAATGTGGCAACAAAAAAATTGGAAATTAGAGAAAATATTTGTAATAAAGGCAAATACAACTAAAACATTTATAACTTTGTTGAAAATTAATTTATTGGTTTATGACATTCGCTTGTTTATTATCAGATTTCACTGTTCTGTTTACAAATTTACAGTT